CCAAAAGATGATGAAAGACTGATTCTTCTCACCAGCAACTGAAATGAAAATAGCCCATGACTTTGTAGATATAAGACAAAATCACTGTGTCACGGAGATGCTCAGGCCCTGTGTTCTTTAAAGGTGTTCATTTCCTGACAACAATTTCCCCGTGTCTCCTGCTAGAGAGTAGCTTCTTCTAACACCTATTCATTTACACAGTGTAGACGTCTTTTTGTTGCCAAGTGACTACAAATCCTGTTACTAGGCCCTCGATGGACTGGAACTACCATGACCATGTTCCTTGTCTGACAGTAATAATCATGTTGCCAGCCAAAGTATACAGCTTTGGCAACAGGACAATTGAGTCTCTGCTGCTCAAATAAAAGGACTTGAAGTAGCTGGCAGTATTGACATTTTCTCACTATGTCTTAGTGTTTTATTGCTGTGAAGAGGCACCATGACCACCACAACTCTTATAAAGAAAATTTTAACTGGGGTTGGCTTACAGGTTCAGAGGTTTAGTCCATTATCAGCATGGCAAGAACTGTAGTGGCTTGAAGATAGACATGGTGCTGGAGAGGGAGGTGATCGTTCTACATATGAATCCACAGGCAGCAGGAAGAGAGAGTGACACCAGGTCTGGCTTGAGCATCTGAAACCTCAAAGCCCAACCCCAGTGTCACACCTCTTCCAACAGGGCAATACCTCCTAATCCTTCCCAAACAGTTCTACCAACTTAGGACCATGTTAGTCAAACACATGAGCCTGTGGAGGCCATTCTCATTTAAACCACCACAGCTTTCAACATCAGATCTAAATGACAGCACCAGTCTTCAGTGAAAGTAATTCCTTTACCTTTACCTCTGGCTTTCTTGCTCCCTGCAATCATGACCCCACTTCACCCTAAGCAAATAAATCTCATTAAAGTACTTCAGGACTCCTGTTTGTGGTGATATTAGAAATCTGCAAAGCCCAGAGAGCGGGCTCATTTTCTGTCGTGAGGATATTTCTTTTCTTCCTGCCCCCACAGCCACATGCTGTGCTTAAAGATCCAGGACTCCTCGGTGGAAAGCAGCAGCATTTTCCGGTCAGTCCTTTTGTGTGCCAGGATCCCTGACATCAGACCTTGGAGGTCAGCAGTGAACCCTGACCCTGGATTATCAATGGCGCTTGGAACACAACCTAATTGCTTTTAATCTTATTTACCCTTTTGCGTTTCTTCATTGAGTTTTGTTGCTCTATTTTGTAATTGGTATGTGTTTGGGGTAAGGGAGGCCATTGATTCATATTCGCTGGACGGCTATTGTACAGCCAATTCCTGATATTTAAGGCTACTTCTTTTCAGAAAAAAAAAAAGTCTTTACAAAAATAAAAAAATATGCTTATATATGTGCAAGATGGTATAAAAATGTCTATAGAATTCAATTCATTCGCTTCTGAAAATTCCGTGTAAAAAAACTGATGAAGCACGAGAAACGGAGACTGGAAAGTACAAAGTAATCCACATCCCGCCACACATTTACACGCTATGCTACAAAAAAAAGTACTTTTTCAGAGGAAGGCTGGCTTGGTAAGGAAGGTAAGCGGGGGCCGGGGCGGGGGGGGGGGGGGGAGAAGAAAAACCACCACCAACAAAACCCCAGTTCTTAACCATCTAGAATTAGGGGCGCGATAGGCCCTGGTCTTTCCATCCGTGAGCAATTTCCTCCAACTTAACGTTTGCAAATAGGGCGGTAGACGCTTGAGAATACAGCCTGGGTAAGGCCGGCAACTGTCAGGTAGAAGGTGCAAGGACAGCGACGTCCAGGGGGTTGGTTACCCACGGCAGAGGGTTCCCGCCAGCGGCTGACAGGTGCTGAGCCCCGCAAAGCTTCGGGCTTTCCGCCAGGGGGCGCCGGGGCCCCGCGCCGGCCGGTCCGTTACGTTTCCGGGCACCGAGGCCGAGCGCCGCCATCACCGGCCGGCCGGCGCGCGCGCCCACTGTGGGCCGCTCCCGTTACCGAGGCAACCGCGGCGCTTCCTCCTCCCTGCGGGCCGCGAGCCTCTCTCCGCGCCATTTTCAAACCGAGCCAGCGCCGGAGCCCTTGGCGGCAGCGGGAGCAGCCAGTGAGGACGGCGGGCCCCGAGGGCGATGCGCACCCGGACGGGGAGCGGCGGTGAGGCGCGCCGGGGGAGGCCGCGGGGGAGGCCGCGGGAGCCGCCGGGCCAGGCCCGGGCGCTGCCGGGAGGAAGTGGAGGGAGGGCGGCGCGGGGACCGGCCCACCGTCCTCCGTGCGACACTAAAATGTCCATGTCTGGGGGAACTGTGGCTCCACCTTCCAGGCCGAGGCGGGGAAGGTCTGCCGGGGCGCCCCGGCCCACCCGCACCCCGGGGTTTAGTAGACAGCTAGTTCTAAACGCCGAACCCACCCGTGTAGGTTGTTTTTGGTTTAAAAGTTGTCATCCGGGATATAGGGCAGATCTAACACGTGCAGATTTTTCTGTCTTTTTCCTGGGAGGACTTCACTGCTCGTGATGTTCTGATTCGTATGCTCACTCTGCGCCCGTCGTGAAGGATGGAGGGAGATGGTTTCGGGGTACCCGGAGTTGGCTAGCTGTCAGAGAGGGGACTTGTTTCTTTTAAGTTTGTCCCATTAGTCTATTCTTGCCGGGTGTTTTTCTTGTGACTGGTCTCAAGAGTTTCTCTGAAACGCCCTGCCATGAGCCAAATTCCCTTTGTGGAAGGAACTAGAAAGCCCTCGGGGAAGTCAAGTCTCTCAAACCAAGAGGCTTGTATTTGTAAATGGGAATAATCAGAAAGAGGCACTAAAAAGGAGCCGCGCGGTTTGGGGACTTATTTTCTTGGGACAGCCTTCCTTCATGCTTCAATAGGGACAGTGTCATATTGGTCCTTTATCCCATACCCGCTGTTCGGAGCATCCGGTTTTGCATAATTTATTCTCACTCACTCATGTGCACTTATGTTTTCCTAGTGGAGAAGAACATAATTTTTATTTGACTTAGAAATATGAGTTCTGTGGCTACATTTATTTGGCAAAGGTTAGAAAGGAGCACATTTCTGAAGAGATGGCCTTTGCATGACTGACTCATTTTTAGGGCAGACTGATAGGGGAAATGGTCTTAAGATGTTTAAAAAGACGAGCATAGTAGCTGGAGATGTGGCCCAAAAGCAGAGTGCTTGCCTAGCAGGTCAGAGGCTCTGCATTTGATCCCCGACACTGTAAACAACAAAACAGACAAGTATAAAAGTGTGTACAGAAGTGCTTACATGTGTGCGCTACTTAAAAACAAAAAATGAAGTTAAGGTGGGCATGGTGGTACACGTCTGTAGTCCTAGCACTCCAGACAGAGAAAAAAATGTAGAGGCAGAGAAAAAATGGAGGCCACCTGGTCTATAAAGTGAGTCAGGACTTTGTAGGGAGACTTTGTCTCAAAATAATAAAAAGAACAAAACTGGGAGTGGAATTTATGTTGTGAAATGCACAGGGCTTGAGTGCTCATTTGAACAATTTCCATAAATGTGTGTGTGCCTGGTAACTTAACCCAGACTTTATTCACTCTGGAAAGAAAGCTTTTACCCTTTCCAGTCACTCTCCAGCTCCCTGTGAAACTGTTTCTAGCCCCAGGGTTTAATTTTTACCTATTTCTGAGCTTTTCAGGAGAGTGGTCACATAGTGTATGTGTCTGCTTCTTTTGCCTGAATAGTGTTTTGAGAGACATCTGTGTTGTCAATATGTCTTGACAGCTTCTTGCCTCCCGTAAGCAGAGTCATGCTACCTAGGATAGGGTCTGATAGCTTGTTCACCCCTTTTCCTGCTGTAGACACTTTTGTAGTCTCCTAGTAGACATTTGTGTCCCTTTTCTTTTGTAAATAGCAGCAACAGAATTAGAGTTTTACTGGCTAGGAGTGTGTTTAGCTTTGTAAGAAGCTGCTGGACTTGTTCCAAGGTAGTTTTCTCCTCTCTCAGCAATGTGTGGATTTCATTTGCTGGGAGCCTTTGCTGACACTGGGTATTGGCAATTTCTTTTAGTTATTCTGTGTGGGCAGAGTTGCACTGCATTGTGGTTGTAAGTTGTATTTTTCCTGGTGACTGATGTTAAGCACCTTTTCATATATTTCTCTTGAGATATCTTTTGCAAAGTGCCTTTTCAAGTTTTTGTACAACTAAAATTTAGTTTTAACACAATTTGGAGGGATAATTTTAGAGCAGGTCTCGCTATATATCCCTGGCTGAATTTACTATATACACCAGGCTGGTTTCAAATTTAGGACAGTATCTCTGTGTCTGTCTCCTAAATGCTGGATTTTAGGGCATGCTGGATACCAGGGCTAGGCTCAATTTCCTTATTGGATTGTTTTATTATTAAGTTCCAAGAGTTTATTTTCTGCTCTGTATGTGAATATTTTCCGAGATCTTGTGAATATTTTGGGGCACTATTTGGCTTTCATCCCCCCTACCCTTGCCTTTCCTCTTTCTTGGTGTTGGCAGAGATCAAACTCAGGGCTTCACAATCCTAGGCGAGAACTGCCATTAAGCCACATCCCAGCTGTGCCTTTCATTTCCTACAATGGAGTGTTTTGATGAGTTGATGTTTTCCACTTTCATGAGGTCCTGCTTATCATGTAATGTTTACTGCTACTAAGGGATTCCCTGTGGATTGTGTGCGCTGCCCAGTAGAGGGCACTTGCCTAGCCAGAACAAGATGTCTCACTGCTCTCCACAATTCTGTAGGAAAGTGGAGCTTTCTTCAAGGATCCCCTGCCTGCTTCTGCGAAGTCTGTTTTCTTCTAGCGTCTTCATTATTTTAACTTTCACATTCAGGTTTATGAAGAAATACATGTTTTAATGTAACAATATAGAGATCATGTGTATTAGATTTAAATCAATGTCAATATTACAGGATAATGACTACCTGAAAAGAAGCAAAATAATTCTTTCATATTAAAGGAATTTTTCTTACGGTGAAACTTTTAACAGCTATGTTTCAATCTTCTCTTTCAGGGCTTTAATTTTGGAGAGTGAATAAAACTGGTTTTGGAAGACAAGATGACGACAGCTTCAGAAAGAAAGTATAGTAACATTAGGAAAAGGCTAGACCAGCTGGGGTACCGCCAGACTCTGACGGTTGACAGTCTGCCTTTGGTAGAAAAACTTTTCAGGTAAACATAAAACTAGAGTTATCAGTGTGTATAAGCCTGAATCCTGAACCCTTAATGCACTTACCGAGGATGTGGCTGACTTTCCTGCTTCCGGAAAGCAGCGAGTGGACTTTGTGGACTTGGGAGAAGTTCTTGAGTCAGCTGAAGCTTGCCTGCTTAGTCCTAAGCCTGGTCCTCAACACAGGGCCTTCCAGCTGCAGGATACTAGGGATGGCCATGCCCACTGGGCCGTTCCCAGTCACCATTTCTGAGAGCTCCCTGGAATGGAATTACACTCTGAGGTTTCTGGTAGAGATCAGAGGTGCTTTCCCCTTTCTTTTCCAGCTTGTCGTTTGTGGTGAGGACTAAACATGCCCTGAGGATCCTGGGCAGGCACTCTGCCATTGAGCTATACTCCCATACAACTTTCTCCTTACATGCTATGTCTGCCAAGCTGGTCTTTAATTTCTGGTAGTCTAGAAAGGCTCTTTAGTTTGTTGTGTTACAGTCACATGTCACCTTAACTGAAAGGCTCCTTTTGATTTCCCCTCCTTCTCCAGTAGACCTATAGTGAGGAGGTTTGGGATTGGAGTAGGGCGTTTAGATTAGTAGGATTACAAATGAAGTTGGTAGAGAGTGTTTAGGAAGGTTGATTACTAGGACCACAAGTGATGCTGGTAGAGAGCAGTGTTTAGGAAGGTTCTTAGTAGGACTACAGGTGATGCTGGTAGAAAGCAGAGAATGGATCAAGATAACTTGTGGTCGTTGATATGAGCCCCCAAACCTCTCAAGACCTGTTCTCTTTATTTCCTGAGGCTTCATCTTGCACGTGTTGAATCACAGGACTCCGTGCGCTCTTGCCCTTGCTGTCTTGTGCACTGCTCCCTCTGCCTGTGGAGCCCTGGGCCTTACCTTCTCACTTCTGTGCTCAGTAGCACAGTCACATTGTTGCATTTTACAATCATTGTGCATCATCCTCATCTTGGCTCTGGCCTCCTTTCACTGACAACTTCCTAAGACACTTTTAGCTGCTGTCAATTGCTCTTTTAATAAGGACGGAAATGTTTGGTTTATCATGTACTACGATGTCTTTTTAATGATTGTCTGTAAATACAAGTTCTTCATTAATAAGTGCGTGTGTGTGTGTTTCCTCGCTAAACATTTAGTAAGTGAGTTGTGTTTTAGTTTAGTTGTGTCGATCTGTGTTTAGAGGCCTGAGAGAGTGCTTCTGGCTTGCTGTCTTTCTGGAGGTAGCAGATAGCAGACAATCAATACTTATTTACTCAATGAAAAGCCAGTTTCACAGGCTCCACAGACCTAAATGATGACCAAGAAAAGAGATTAAATAGGGATTTGCATGGTAACCCATTTTGTTGAGTGCCCTAATTAGATGTTTCTGAACAATGGGATTTTTAAACTGAAGATAAAATTATCAATGAAAGTACTTTCAGAAGTGAGGAAAAAAAACCAACCAAACAATTTGATATGTTTGTATTTTATAATTTATAGTTAGGCTTGTTTTGAAAAACTTTTCAGTACCTTTTGATACCTTCAAAGAACCGTACTCTTCATTCTTCTTATAAATTTGATATTACTTAATACTAACATTATACTTAAGCCTTTTTAGAAATGTGTTTTAATTTACTAAAAGACTAATAGAATGTTTTCTTGCGTCTCTGTTTTCTGTCTTTTAACTCTAGTGACTTAGTTCATACAACAGAGAGCCTGCGGCAGTCCAGGTTGTCCTCAGAAAAGGCGGAAAAGGAAAGTGCCAATTTTGATTTTGCTTTGGAGCCTTATAAACTTGAAAATGCAAGACTCTGTAAGGAGAATAATGAATTGTATCTGGAGTTAATGAAGCTGAGAGAATACTCAGACCAGCACATGAAAGGTAGATGAGACTTTGATGATTTTTTTTAAGTGTAGGATCCTTGCCCTCCTTGTTTTATAACTGGAAAAGGCTAAAGTCCCATTTTAAAATCCTTGATAAGAAAAATGATAGTCCTACTAACAGCACTTTAAATACAGTAAGGTGTGTAGAAGAATGCTTAAAAGGGAAAGGTGCATTCCATAGTTATGATAGTCTTTACTATCATAGATTATGCTTTTTGGTTTGAAATTAGTATAGAAAATATTAAATAGCAGAACAGAGGTGTTTTCTTCAAACAACTATTGTTTCTCTTACTGAAAAGAAAAGTAATGACTAAGTGAAAGCTCTGCATCACTTATTAAGTAGTGTTCGAGCCAGGAAATAGATTTCAAAGATAATTATTTGGTCATCTTACTATAAATTTTATATTCAGTAATTCTTTAGCTTACACCTGACTTACTGGATTAAAGCTATGGTACCCATTGGGCATATACAATAATTAAAATAAAGTTCCTTTTTGTGCTTAGTGATTTCTATTCAGATTTGTTAGTGGTAAGAAGTGTATTTGGCTTCATACAGACCATGTGTAAAGCTTAGGTGGTGCCTCTTAAATTGGTGTGGATGTCTTGATGCTTAGAATTGTGTTTTCATCTTTCTCACTTCAAGAGTTGAAAACTGAGTTGAAGAAATGTTCACGTGAGACAGCTGATCTGAAATTTCTGAATAACCAGTATGTTCATAAGCTCAGACTCCTGGAGAAAGAGAGCAGAGCAAAGAACGAAAAAATCCAACAGCTTCAAGAAAAGAATTTGCATGCTGTAGTGCAGACTCCTGGTAACTCTTCAGTTTCCTTCTCAAACCAAGTTGGCTAGAGCGGTCGTGAATACACTAATATGGGGCTATACACTAATGTGAATACACTAATGTGGGCTATACTTATTTTTTGTCAGACTCTATTAATTTAGAAAGTGCAGTTCTGATCTTGCCAGTGGCTGAGAAAGTAAACAAGCTATGAGTTTTATACCACTCCAAGGTCAATCTATCCATTTAAAATGTTCCTGCTACCTACAAAGATAATTATGGAGGTGTTCACTACTAGTTCAGATTACAGTATGAATGAATTACAGGCGGCATCCTATTGCATTCTAGTTGTGCTCCTTTGAGTTTCAATTATTTGCTCTTCGTGTGTGTATCTGCCCTTTGTATGTTTGTGCAGGAACGTGTGAGTGTGCATATGGAGAAGTCAGTTTCTAACTTCTTCCTCGATTACTTTCTACAAGATTGTTTCGAGACAAGGCTTCTCACTGAATCTTGAGCTTGCCTATTAGGCTAGGTAGACTGTCCAGCAAGCCCTAGGGATCTTTCTGTCTCCTCCCCTCTAGTGCTGGGATTACAGGCACAGCACCAATGCGTGGTTGCTGAGGACTGAGTACAGGTCCTCACGCTTGAATGGCAAGTCCGTTTGAGCAGTCTCCAGCCCCAGTGATCTGTTCTCTTGACATTGCTTAATAAGCATGTGTATTTTAGTTCTTACTGTCACTGCACCTCATCTGACAGTGGTCTAATAGTGATATTTTAGCCCAAATTTTTGACCACTGCAAGGCGCACTCAGGTTTTAATCCTGCCAAAATCTAATCTAGCTGAGGGATAGTTTAAACTTGTGTGCATATGCCAAGCCTATAAGCATAGAAAGCTTCTTTTATAGCCTTGTCTTATTAAACGTCTCAGAACTGCATCGTTGAATCACAAGTCAGGGTGGATATTCACAGATGAGCCCACTTTATAATGGAAGGTTAGCCTGTGCTGTTGAGTATTTAGGAAGGTGTTGTTTCCTCTTGGCTTAGAAGCCACACATCTCTTTTTGCTTTCTTAGGTGGCAAGAAAAGACACATTGCATTTAGGCGCCAGCGGATGCAAATCGATGAACCAGCCCCGCCCTCTGAAGTCAGTTCATACCCAGTTCCACAGCCAGAAGACCCATACATTGCAGACCTCCTGCAGGTCGCTGACAACAGGTGTGTTATATACTTTCTTTGCTGAGCCTAGGTGTGCTAGAGGGATGCTGAGCATGCCCAAGGACTTCAGTTTAATCCTCAACACCTAAGTCATCATTATCTTTGTTGGCTTTATTGATGTGCATTGTAAGGTTTCAATGGGAAGGTTTGGGCTTGTTAATTGTCGTGTCCGCATGTCTAGCACAGAACTTTGCACCAACACTCAATAGGTATTTTCAGAACAATACAGAAGTTGTTTTTTTTTTTTTTTTACTTGTCTAAAAACTTTGATTTCAAGTAAGTCATATATCTGAGGTCTCTGCCCATACTTGCTGTGAAATAGTAGTGCTGTTAAGAACCTATTTTAATAGAGTCACTTTGACATTTAGTTTCATCTTTAAGTAGGTTACCTTTTACTGGAATCTCTACTGCTTCCGATATAGCAAAATGCCAGCTGGACATGAATAGATTCCTAACTTGATCTGAAATTCTTATCTCATGAATTCTTTAGCCCTGTATTTATATTTCCTTAAATATAAAGCAGAGTCAGATATAGATTCCATTTAATTAGGCATTCATTAGGCTTCCAGGGCAAAGCCCTGAGCAAGTGCTCTGAGACTGTCAGAGTAAGGGGATGCTGCTTCTTGGAGATGCTTGCAGTCCAGATGGCACTAAGGGAAGAGAGATGGCTCCAGTGACATTACAGTTATACTGGGTGAGGCATCAAAACTGTGGGTGCTCGGAAGAACTGTGCAGGTAATGACTTTGTGTTCATGTAGAATACAGAGGAGATTGTCAGCCAGTCATAATATCTAAAGGAGTGTTGGTTGAGATCTGCCTCAGATCACTTGAGTCATTTATTCTCCCCTAATAATATGTGCCTGTATTTATATGGCTACCTTGACCTTTTGAGGTTTGCTCATCTGTTAAAATTATGATCAGGTCCCTGGTGGTATTATTTAAACACTAGTTTATGCTGTAGAAATGCCATTGGTCTCTTTTGTCTGTTTGCTTTGGTGTGTACCACATTTTGCATCTTCTGCATTACTCTTAGAGTGCCTGAACGCATGCTCTTATTCTTAGCATAGATTAGCAGACACTTACAGCTTCAGTAAGAGCTGGTTGGGATGAGCTCTCTGCAACCTATTTATTGCAGCTCATGGAAAATGTCTCTTCAAAGCAGACCTGCTTCAGGCTTTTCCAGTCAAAATTGGGTTATGCCATACCAAGACAATAGAATCCATGTAGAGTTCTGATGATTTGGTTAAAGTCTTGATTCTGTTAGAACTTACACATTCTAGGAAAAGTAGGCATTGCTGGGGTCACTTAGAAAATTGCAGTTTGCTCAGTTTTCTTCTTTCCAGTAGAGTAAAGCAGTTTATTAGGCAACACAGGGTTGGTTAGGGTCAGAAGACACCCTTATTTCATGTAGTGATGTGAACTATGAACTAGATCTGCGGCTTCCTGAACCTAAAAATTGGTAGCTGGACCTCAGAGTTGTTCTAAGAACCAAACAGAAGAGGGATATGATTGTTTGTTTGTTTTAAATCTCTCTCTTTTATTATTTCAGTTTATTTACTTTACATCCCAAGGGTGCCCCCTCCCTTCCTCTCATCTCAGTTCCCCTTCCCCTCCTTCCTCGCTCCCTTCTCCCTTTACCCCCAGAAAAGGGGAGCCCCCTCTCTCCATATCAACCCTCCCCAGCACATCAAGTCACATTAGGCCTGAGCATATCCTCATCTCCTGAGGCCAGACAAGGCAGTGCTGCCAAAGGGAAGTGATCCAAAAGCAGGCAATAGAGTCCATGTTAGAAACATTGCCCCTCCACTCGCCAGGGGCCCCATATGAAGACCAAGCTACCCATTGGTCATATATGTTCAGGGTCCTAGGTCCAGACCATGCATGCTCCTTAGTTGATGTCTCAGTCTCTGTGAGCCCCCTTTGGACTGGGTTAGTTGTTTCTATTGGACTTCTTGTAAGGTCCCTGTCCCCTCCAGGTCCTTCCGTCTTTCCCCCAACACTCCACAGCTCTGCCGCATGCTTGACCACAAGTCCCAGCATCTGTCTCAGTCTGCTGCTGGCTGGAGCCTCCCAGATGACAGTCAAGTTAGGCTCCTGTCTGCAAGAATAGCAGAGCATCATTAATAGTGTCAAGGGCTGGGTGGGTCTCTACTGTCTCTCAGGTTGGGCCAATTATTGGTTGGACATTCCCTCAATCTTTATTCCCTCTTTATCCCAGCACTTCTTATAGGCAGGGTAATTTTTGAATCAAAGGTTTTGTCGGTGGATTGTTGTTCTCCTCCTTCCACTAGTCCTCCTGGCTAGGAGGTGGTCACTTCAGTCTTCATGTCCCCCCCTGTTAGGAGTCTCAGCTAGAGTCACACCCATATCCTTCCAGGAGCCTACCCGTCGCAGGCCTCCAGCTTGACAGAGAGATGTTCCCCCTCAGGTTCCCTTTTGTTCCCAGCCCTCTCACCTCCCACTTCCGTTCTCCCCACATCTGATCCCCACTCCTGTTGCCCTCCCCATTCCATCTCCTGCCCATTTCTCTCTCTTCATTCACTTTTGCTGTCTATTCTGTTTCCCTTCTGAGTGGCCTTCCAGCACCCTCCCTTGGGCCCCCCTTGTTACTTAGCTTCTTTGGGTCTGTGAAGTGTAGCCTGGTTATCCTGTAGCATAGGTCTAAAATCCACTTGTAAGTGAGCACATACCATGCGCATCTTCCTGGGTCTGGGTTTCCTCACTCAGGATGATCTTTTCTAGTTCCCACCATTTGCCTGCAAACTTCATGTTTTTTTAATAGGTAAGTAGTATTCCATTGTGTAAATTTCTGTATCCATTCATCAGGTGAGGGACATCTAGGTTATTTCCAGATTCTGGCTGTTATGAATAAAGCCACTATGAGCATAGTTGAGCAAATGTCCTTGTTGTATGGTGGAGCCTCTTTTGGGTAGATGCCCAGGAGAGGTATAGCAGAGTCTTGAGGTAGAACTATTCCTGATTTTCTGAGAAAGCACCAGGTTGATTTCTGGAGATGTTGTACAAGTTTGTACTCCTACCAGCAATGGAGGAGAGTTCCCCTTTCTCTACATCCTTCCCAGCATGTGTTGTCACTTGAGTTTTTGATCTTAGCCATTCTGATGGGTGTAAGGTGAAATCTTAGGGTCGTTTTGATTTGCATTTCCCTGATGGCTAAGGACGTTGAGCATTTCTTTAAGTGCTTCTCAGCCATTTGAGATTCCTCTGTTGTGAAGTCTTGGTTTAGCTCTGTGCCCCATTTTTTAGTTGGATTATTTGATTTGTTGATGTTTAATATCTTAAGTTCTTTGTATATTTTGGATATTAACCTTCTGTCTGATATACAGTTGGTGAAGATCTTTTTCACAATCTGTAGGCTGCCGTTTTGTTCTATTGACTATGTCCTTTGACTTAATAGAAGCTTCTGAGTTTCATGAGATCCCATTTATTAATTATTGATCTCAGAGCCTATCTTGTTGGTGTTTTGTTCGGGAAGTTGTCTCCTGTGCCAATGAGTTCCAGACTTCCCCACTTTGTCTTCTAATAGATTTAGAGTCTCTGGTTTTATGTCAAGATCTTTGATCCACTTGGACTTGAGTTTTGTGCAGGGTAAGAAAAACAAGTCTTTTCATTTTTGTACATCCAGACATCCAGGTAGACCAGCACCATTTGTTAAAGATGCTTTCTTTTTTCCTTGTATGTTTTTTGGCTTCTTTGTTGAAAATAAAATGCCCATAGGAGCATGGGTTTATTTCTGGGTCTTCAATTCGGTTCTACTGATCAACCTCTGTTTCTATGCCAATACAATACAGTTTTTATTACTGTTGCTCTGTAGTATAGCTTGAAATCAGGGGTGTTTATGCCTCCAGAAGTTCTTTTATTGTACAGAATTGTTTTGGCTATCCTAGGTCTTTTATTTTTCCATATGAAATTAATGATTGCTCTTTCCAGGTTTGTAAAAAATTATGTTGGAATTCTGATGGGAATTGCATTGAATCTATAGATGGCTTTTGGCAGAATGGCCATTAGGAGATCAAGGGGATACAAATTGGAAGAGAAGAAGTGAAAGTGTTGCTCTTCACAGATGGTATGATAGTATAGTAAGTCACCCCCACCCCCACAAGATTCTACCAGAGAACTCCTAGGGCTGATAACATCTTCAGCAAAGTGTCTGGATACAAAATCAACTCCAAAAAGCCAGTGGCCCTTTTTTGTACAAGCAACAAAAGGACTAAGAAATAGCAACAAATAATATAAAATATCTTGGTGTAACACTAACCAAGCAAGTGATCAGCCTGCATGACAAGAACTTCAAGTCTTTGAAGAAAGAAAATGAAGAAGATTTTAGAAGATGGGAAGATTTCCTATGCTCGTGGATCCGTAGGATTAACATAGTAAAAATGGCCATCCTGCCAGAAGCCATCCACAGGAATTGTTTTATTGCATGATGTATGTGAGTTTCAAATTACTTGCCTCAGTTTTGATATCTGCTCCTATAAAGTTAGCTCTTTGAGGTGGTGTGCTGCATTTATGCTGAAGCCCTCGGACCCTTTTGCACAGCACTGCAGTCCTCCCCCAGCAGCCAGAAGTGGGATTTTTACACAACAAAATTACTTTCATGTTCCATTGTGTTGTTTTTGTCTCCCTTAACCAAAGCCTCTATGTCACATGCTGACACCAGTTATGCATGTTTCAGGATTCAGGAACTTCAGGAGGAAGTCCACCAGCTTCAAGAGAAGTTAGTAGTGATGGAAAACGGAGTGAGAGATTACAGCAAGCAGGTAGGGTTTTCTTTTCTCAGTTGTGTGTCTGGGTGAGCTGTGTATGCTCTGATCAAGCATAGAACTGTCTTACACATGATATTACAGATTCCTCATTTTAAGTGTATGCAGCCTTTTTCTTTTCCAGAAAGCTTGTTAGTCGAGTTAAGAGGTCGAGTCGCTCTAGAGTATCTGCCTTATTCCCTTATTATTCATTGAGGTGAGCAGTAATTTTAGTTTTAGTGTCTCTTTTATTTGAAGCATCAATCTCCCCAAATCAAATTGCCCCAAATTAAAATTACAAGTGGGTTACTATGTTCATCTCAAGAATAATTTTATTGAAGTATGACAACATACTTTTATAATTATATGTGTTGGGAGGACCAACAAGATGGCTCAGTGAGTAGAGATGCTTAGGACCAGGCCTGACGACCTTAGTTCAGTCTCCAGGACCTACATGGTGGAGAGAGAAAACTGACCCAAAAGTTGTCCTCTGACCTCCTTATGAGGCACACACATAATATTTATAAATAAATATTTTTAAAAACAAAAATGAAAATAATTGTATTATTATTTTATTCATTTCTTTTTTCCTTTGATACAAACTTTTGGAAGTTCCTCTTGTGGGTTGCTGTCTTCAGTGTGGTTCCTCTGGAAGCATGGTACAGCATGACACAGCTGTCTAAGAAGCAGGGGCTCAGCAGATGCAGAGTTAGATCATGACACAGCAGGCCTGTGTTCCTGCTCTTTGCGTGCTGTCTTGGCTGAACAGCACACTTTGTTTCCTACTGTGCTCAAAGAAGTTTAAACTAGGTAACATGTTTTTCATATTCATGGCTACATTTTTTTTGCATGTTCTGTACATATAACTCTATATGTACCTTTTATGTTAGTATAGCTCTTATAAAGTACTTTGAAAAATATTTGGATTAAAAAGGAGTTAAAGGAAATTTCAATATTGTCAAGCCAAAAAAACCAGAATACTAAAAGATACCAAAAGCAGAGGTTCCCCACCTGTAGGTTATGACCCCTTTGGAGTTATGGATCAGATATCCTGCATATCAGATATTTATGATTCATAACAGTAGCAAAATTACAGTTGTGAAATAGCAGCAAAATAATTTTATGGTTGGGGTCAGCACAATGTGAGGAACTGTGTTAAAGTAAGGTTGCGGACCACTGCACTGAAAGTACAGTGAGATGGAACTGAGAATTAAGGAGCTTGCCTATCTAACGTGCTGGGTTTAATTCTCAGCATAGCAGAAAAAGACAAAAAAAAATTGCACAAATTAAATGTCATTGTTATTTTTCAGTTTATAACCACATTTCTCCCAAGTACTTTATAAACAGAAATTGCCAAAACTTTGCACTTTGCCATCTCTCTGAGATGGTTGTAGTCTTTGGAGGACATTGCTTAGCCATTCTGATTAACTGACCATCCATCTTAGTTGATCCTCTCTGCCATTTTTATATATATATATATATTTTTTTTTTATTTTTTATTTTTTGCTTGAGTTTGTTTTTCTCAGAATTTATTCCAGCTTGTGAGTTAGGGGTCAGTTCAGTGATAGGCACTTACTAGCAAAGCCCAAACTGAAAGCAAGAACAGTACTCCATAGTTTGCTATTCCCAACTTCTTTTCCTGACACTCTATCACCACTTTCTTGGGGTATCTCCTTGTTTCAGCTTTCTGTTCTTAGCTTTATATAGCAATATTTGTATTCAGAGTCTCCTAAGACTTAATGGATAGGGGATTGTTCTGGCTCAATGCTCAATTCTTCACACTCGCTTCCTTGCACATTACAGTCTAGTCATGCCAAGCCATTTCTGCTGTCGTGGATATTTCCCCTGATAGTCACTTCCTGGAGCACCCTTTTTCCTGATTCAGCATTGCTGTGGTCTTTTATGAACATTCTGTTTTTAGCAAGGCCTTGGGTGAATTTATAGGCTCAGACATAGTATGCAGAGTGGGTGACTTTATCCCTTTAACTACTGGTGCAGCCATATACCATTTCCTTCACTCTTCTGTTGAAGCCTCTGTTAACTAGTGACTATTGGGATGGGTGCTAGTTTTTCCTGTTTGGTTCTCGGTTCCTGAAAGTCATAGTCCATTGTTTTATTTATCCTTACACAGATCAGTGTGTGTTCAGTATTTATTGAATTGAATCTTTGTTTTTGTTTTGTTTTTTCTTTTTCTGTTTTTGGGGAAAAGAAAATAAAAAGTGTGTGTGTGTGTGTGTGTGTGTGCATTTTTCAAATTCTTGCATGTGAATTGGTGTCAATATATGGTTAATACTGCTCTTTTGACTATATGTGAATAATAATTCATTAAATTTATCTTATTTTTTGTATCCCTTTTAACACTGAGTTAGATATTAAGTCAGTTTTTAGTCTTTTCCATTCATTTGCTCACTCATTCATTCTGCCAGGCATTGAAATGTGTCAGTATTATTCCAGTACTTGAACATGTATATAATATGCCAAGACATTTCTCTTCATATAAACAATTGCCTAATTTTAGAAGAGAGAAACAAACTAAAAATTCAGTTAGAATCAATTCCATAAAATACTAATGAGCACTATGTTGGTACTGTTAAAATTGGTGTGCTCTGTGTTTTGCTCATGAATGGTAGCTGCTGTGTGCATTGTTGGGACACGAGGAAAGAGTGTGTTTAACTAAATGTGCAGAGTTAAGAATTTGCTGCACAAGCAGATTTTATCAACTGGAAGCATAACTTTATGTCCTCAGATTGAGCTAAGAGAACAAGAAATAGAACGACTGTCACTTGCTTTGGATGGTGGCCGTTCCCCTGATGTCCTGTCTTTGGAGACTAGAAATAAAACCAATGAAAAGCTTGTTGCTCACCTAAATATTCAGGTAATGGCCCATAGGGTTGTTTCTTTAAGTATATAAAAATCTGAGTTTTTTTTAATAATGTCTGGGTTTTTTAAACTGGCAGACTTGTTCACTGAAGTATTATTTATAAGGGATTAGTTTTGTTTTGTTTTTGAGAAAGGGACTCACTATATAGCATTTGTGGGCCTGAAACCCTCTCTGAAGAACAGTCTGGCCTTGAACTCACAGAGATCTGACTGCCTCTGCCTCTCCAGTGCTTGGGTAAAGGTGTGTGCTGCCATACCTGGCTCTGGGGAGTTTCTGTTAGAGCCAGAATATGTAGAAATAGGGGTAGCTTTTGAGAAATCCGGTGCTTAATGAGGCACCAGGTAATAGAGATGTAATGTTACAGACTTGAAGAAGACCACGTGCTGGAGGCAGTTTGCTCTTAAAAACTGGTGAAGGAATAAAGCGTGGGGACACACCACGCAATTGTGCGCTTGGAAAGGAGAGAGGCCAGAAGCTCAGTTTATGGCCAGCTCAGCCCCACAGTAAACTCTAGACTACCATGGGTTACATAAGACCCTATTTCAAAAGAACAAAACAATAGCAAAGTCTATAAATCTCTTTCTCTGTCTCTCTCTTTTTCTCTCTCTCTCTCTCTATATAAAGACTATATATATATATAGTCATATAAGGAATATTTTAAAATACACTGACAAAGCTTATTTTTGTGTATTGGGGAGTTATTGATGGCTTTCTATTTTAAAAACTGTAATGACTATTTTATAGTGTAAAAGATGGTTTATATGCTTATTTATAGTCTATGCTATAGATTGTATGTACTGTCTATAATGTATGCTATATGATTCACAATATTACCCGTTTATACTCTATGTCCATACTACATAGCAGGTATTGATATGTAATATATTACTTTGGTGAGGCTGTAGAGAGTAAAAGCCTTGTGTAACATGAAAATCACAAGTCCAGTCTTTGTCACTGCCAAAAATAGTAACATAAGTAAAGCATGTGCCTGTGTCTGCTTGTACCGTGCTTTGATCTGAGGATAAAAAAAGCAGAAGAGCTCTAAAAGTTGTGACACATGAACTTAGAAGTTTAGATATGCTAGTATGTAGTACATACGCAACTACCATTTACACATATGTCTGTACATAGCCAGGTAGAGTTAGTTCAAAACTAGCAGAGGAAGCATTCAAAGGAAACGTGACTCTTGACCAATGGAATTAATTATAATGTATTTATTTCAGTATATCCAAAACTTCATTTCAACATATAAGATTTTTACTTCCCTAAAAAACAAAAACAAACAGAACCCCAAGAGTTTGAAACCTTACATGTTTTACATTTACAGCACATCTCATTTTAGACTCACCATAGTTCACGTGCTCGGCAGCTACATCTAGATGTGCATAGCTACTCTACTGGGCAGTACAAGCTACTGTCGCTGGGGCAGTCCTGTCATATTTTTCGAACTCTGTTGGCAACAAGCTCACACAAATTTCTCATCCTTTATTTCTGTGTGTGAAAATCAATGCCACTAGGCATATATTTTTATTAAAGTACACAGTGTCAGTTTTGGCAAAAAAACAAAAAAATAGTATTTAGGACTGACAAGCAAAAATAGCTGGATTTAACTCCAAGACCCTTTAAAATACAGTGTTTAGAACTTTTAGTTTGAATGTTCAGAATTTTGGATAATTTTCTAGTTTATATACTTCATCACTATGACTGTATATTGGATTTAGGTTAACTTCCTTCAGCAAGCTAATAGAGAACTGGAGAAGCGTATTCAAGAGCTCCTGGAAACCAAGGAAACAGTGACAACTGAAGTTGTAAGCCTAAGTAACAAAAATGAAAAGCTTTGCCAGGAGTTAACCGAAATCGACCAGTTAGCCCAGCAGCTGGAAAGGCATAAAGAGCACGTGCTGGAGACGGCAGACAAGGAGCTCGGCGAGGCAAAGGTGACTTGGAGTCTGTGCTGTGGGACCTCACTAGGCCTGAGCACAGTGGGGTGGGCTCTGGAAAGCCATGCCCAGCTTTGCAGTTTGCTCAGTGGGAGCATATTTCTGCCCTTAACAATGCAGAGTTTTAAGTGTTGTTTCCACCTTCTAAAAGATTGCCTTTGTTCTAACTGGTTTAGTTTTCCTGGGCACACCTGGTCATAGACTAAATGTCTAAACTCTGTCCTGACGTTCTCTGTCATTTCCATCCCTGTCCTTTTATCTCTGAAGTTTGTCCTCTTGTCAGGTTTAGCGTAAGAATCGCTGAAAGATGATTTTGCATGTGTGTATGTGTTTATATCATGTGCATGCATGGGTGTGTGTATTATGTTCACATGTGTAGGCATGCATATACGCATTGGTGGTCGTGCCTATCTGAGCGTGTGTGTGAAGGCCTGAAGCTGATGTTGGGTGTTTGCCACAATCACTGTTCACTCCTCTGGGACTGGTTCTGTTCCTGAACTCAGAGCTCACTGTTGCAGCTTGTCTAGCTCACAAGCTTGCCCTAGGACTCTCTGACTCTCTTCTGCTGGGATGGTCACCATGCCTGCCCAGCTTTCGTAGGGGTTCTCAGGATCTGAAGTTTAGTCATTAAGCCTGTGCAGTTTGCATTTTATCCTCTGAGCTATCTTCCCAGCCCCTAAACATATTGTAAGAATGCTTTCTTTGCAGATTTTGTAGTTGGTAGCTACCATTCTTCATCTTTCTGCTAAAAAAAGTCATAGGGTGAAACTTTCTGTTTACAATATTAATCTCTTCAGGCAAGTCTTACTGTTATTTAAAATGCAGTCAGTGAGTCCAAATGACCTTTTCTCCTTGAGAGTCTCACAAAATTGTACCCCATTTTAGCATTTTATACTTGATGCCTTTTTATGATCAGTCTATCACACTGGCCTGGAATAAAAACATGAATGAGGGGAGTTAGTATGATGGGGAAAGGATAGGAGCTCCACAAGGACCAAATATATCTGGGCACAGGGACTTTTCTGAGACTGACATTCAACCAAGGACCATGTATGGATATAACCTAGAACCTCTGCTCTAATATAGCCCGTGGTAGCTCAGTAACCAATTGGTTTCCCATAGTAAGGGGAACAAGGACTATTTCTAACAGGAACTCAATGGCTGGCTCTTTGACCTCCCCACCCCCCAAGGGAAGAGCAGTCCTGTTAGGCCACAGAGGAGGACTTTGCAGCCAGTCCTGAAGATACCTGATAAAACAGGATCGGATGAATGGGAAGGAGGCTCCCCCATCAGTGGACTTGGAAAGGGGCAGGGTAGAGATGAGGGAGGGAGGATGGGATTGGGAGGGAATGAGGGAACGGGATACAGTTGGGAAACAGAGTTAATAAAATGTAACTGATAAGAAAAAAATAAAATAAAAAAAAGAAAGAAAACCAGCCATGCAAAAGAGAAATAATGATATTTAAAATTTTTATTACATTTTTTTTTAATTGTCACCCAAGGAGTTTGCCTCTTTGTACTTCACACAACCATGTTTGAATCATTGCTTTGTAAAGCTACAGACAAGTTTTCTTACCAGTTTTTCAGAAAATTTAAATGGTTAATAGTGCTATCTGTTTGATGGTCCCTGGGTTAATTTTTTAAGCTACTATTTTGACTCTATTCAGTAATAATATTTTTGAGACTGATTAGACATGTTCTGATAAAAATTTCCTCAAGTTAAAGACTCCAACTCCTCCCCTTCAGACTATCTGAATAGTTTCTCTCATGTGAATACTTGTTATGATTTTCTACCTTTGATTTTAGAACCCTTTATATACATTTGTGAATAATTATTGATATTTTCTTTTTCCACATTTTAGCTGTTATTTCTACATCTCCTGGTTTTGTGTAGAAAATATGGTTGGGAAATGAGTGCTTTTTTGTTAGTGTATGTTTGCAACCAATGATGTCACAGTGTGTATATAGTAAATAGTAATTTATAAGTTGAAAAAAAACATGAATGAATTGAATTTCTTTTGTTAATTCTTTTACTGTAAGCTTCAGAGTGTTATACTATTCCTCCACATGGTATTATCATTACCGTTGTTAGTAAGCACTAGGTCAAATTGACAGATATCTCACAATGCTGATAAGTAAATTTGTATGTGAAATACATCTCAAAGAAATGCAGTAGGAGAAAAAGAAGCCTTCAGCCAGTCCCAGCCTAGCTGTAAATAATCTTTGTATCTGATGTTTCAAAAGTTTTCTTCTTCTTTTTTTTTTTAATCTTGAAATAGAGTGCTTTTATAACGTGGATGAGAATTCTTTGAAGCAGATTGCTAAAGGCAGCTGTGAAGGGAGAGTAAGAGTAGAGCACGCATACATGCCTAGAGCATCATTAAGACGACCTTAAAGATGATCTTTAAGGAGCACTGTGTGTCAGCTGAGTCACTGGATGCCACTCTTTAAAAGCTGTGTGCAGAGAAGGGCATGCTCATAGACAGGACACTTGCTTAGTGTGTCCATGCACCTGGGCTCTGTCTCCAGCACCACAGAGCAAAGCAAAGCTGCTTGTACCCTAGCTAGCTATCACACTTGGGAACCCTTCCTGCCAAGAGTAGATGGAACCCAGTGTGAAGACCATTTTTCTGCATTTGTGTTAGGCAGTGTTAACTTTGTAGTTAGTGAAACAGGAGGAAACTATATCAATATAATACAGAAATTAATAAAAAGCCCACAGCAAACGTACTCAGTATTGAATCAGCAAAATTTTACTGCAGAATCAGGAACAGGTCTAGGATACTTTTGTTATTTCTGTTTAGCATATAATACTGATCCAGAAGAAATGGTACATGCCTGGGAATCTAAATATTTGTAGGGAGGCTGAAGCAGGAAGACTGTATGTTCTAGGTAGCTTGGGATACACTGGAAAACCATATCATCATATAATTAAACTAAAATGTAGTACTAAAGTCCTCAGCAATTAGACAAAAATAAAATAGGATAAAGTAAAGGGCATACACTTTTCAAAGAAAGAGTAAAAATTCTTTATTCATATGTGACATGATCTAAATTGTAGAAAATCTAAAGATTTTCACACGATGAAATAAACAAGTTAACACAATTGCATGTTAAAACACACACACACAAATTCATTATACTAAGAATAAGAAAAATCAAACATAAATTAATCCAATTTGCAACTACCTCAAAAAGAATGAACTTAACCACTATGGTTAAAACTTTAGCTATAATAAAACACTGATGAAAAAAGTAAAACTAATGAAAAGGTACGGATGAAAAGTAAAGGATGTGTAAACGAAAAGGCATCCTATGTGTGTGAATTACAAGACTCATGTTGTGAAACCACATAGTCTATGAATTCAGCTCAAGTCCTATGAGAATGCAATGCCAGCTTTTGCAGAAGTAGAAAATAGTCCCCAAGTGTATATGGACTCTCAAGAAACTCTGCACAGCCAAAGAGTCATGGAAAAAGACATGGAATAGGATGTAACCTTCACATGTATGAGGCCCTGGGTTTGATCTTCAGAACAGGGGTAGGTATACAATTCATATAGATTTGATTCTGCTTTTTTGGTTTGAGTGTACAACAATACTCCTCTATCTCTTTTCTCTCTTTCTCTACTCCATTTTGTATCTTCTGTGCTTTTGCATACTATGCATTGAACGTGACGACTCCTCATGGCCTGTTGACAAGGCCTGCAGATGTCAACTTGTTGCAACAAAAGGTTACTTTTGGATCACAGTATTTCCATAGTACTCTGTGCTCTGAGTTGTAGTGTGAGAGATCCAGGTAGGTAAAAACAAGTCGAGAGCAGGGAAGAGGATGGTTAGGAAATGACTACCATCATTTCCCAAAGCTGAGGCCCAAGAAGGGAGAGTTGGAGTGGTTTCTCACTTTACAAATGAGCTCTCACAAGCGTTCAGGATGCCACAGTATTTAAACAGGTGTTTCATCTCTACCTTACTCTCTCTTCATTGGAGCTGAGTATTAGATCCAATTCCCAGACCTTATGGATAGAGAGAATGCAAGCTACCTAGTCTTACTTGGTATGCCATAGTGACGTATAGTCATAGGGTCTTAGATACTTACTTAATAGGCTTTTTATTCCTAGAAAGAAATTAAAAGAAAACTCTGTGAAATGCGGAACCTTGAAGAAAAAATGTCAAAACTTCAACTGGTAAGTTGATGTTGTACCTTTGCCACTGTTTTCAGCATGGAATTGGTGCCTGGTTTTATAGGTCTATTGAGATATCATGTGTATGGATAATCTTCACACTTTTTAGAGGACTGAGTGGTTTTGCCACAGTCACAGAACCACTGCTAATCCCAGAACATTGATCACTCTGGAAAGAAATCTTATATCCATAAGCAGCCTTCTGCTTAGCCTCTGACAGCCACTCATCTACCTTCAGGTTCTGAAGCTTTCTTTCTGGCTAGTTCATATAAATTGATCATGAATTGTGTGGCCTTTTGCAGCAGGCTTCTTTCATTTAGGGTGTTTTCATGGTTTGTGAGGTCGTAGCATGGATGGGAGCTCCATTCCTTTCTATAGCTGAGTGCTAAATGTTCCTAATTCTGATTATGCAATTTCATAGTTCTATCATTCTCTAGCCTTTCATAAGGCAGGTTTGTTGGTAACATTGAAAAACTGAGACCTCGTTAGGAATTCTGCATTCCTCTAACTACTTTATGGCTTGGCTGTTTACTAGCAGCAGTAGCATCAAAACTGGTAGTTATTTATTTGTTGATTGTTATTAGAAGTACTCATTCTTCTTCTAATTACTTTACTTGGTATAATTCAAGCAATTTTTCTAGTCTTAGTGCTTATCCCTGTGGCCTTTTAGTGAGAAAGACAGGCTTAATTCCAAGAGACCCCTTGGTACAGGGACATTAGCAGAATGCCTTACAAGTTAAAACTGGTGCTCATGTAGAGATGGAGGCTCTCTTCTGTGGAATAGCCTGCTGTGTAGGAAGGGTTCTCTGTAAGAATAGAAACAAAGATCAAAAGTAACTTTCATCTCTTCATTATATATAGTCTATGCTGGTGGATTCAGGTTACATGCCATTTCTACAGTATGGTGGCATGTATTCCCTTGTAGATTTTTTTATAGATAGTAGGAACAGCCGAAGCTAGAGGCTTCTTTTTAAGTTGAGCTTAGCAAGTCTTGAATCTGGCATTGAATAATTTAGCTAAGCGTGCTGAAGGAGCTCACTCTTGAGACTCATAAATCTCCCCCAGGGTCATTATGAGGTTTTCTTTGGAACATGACCTCTGTGTGTGCGAAAGGGTTTGCTGCTGTTCACTATTCTGTGCACACCGTGAGTGTTGGGATGATTGACAGTGCTTGTCTCAGATCTGTGATTGATTTTCGGTAATGTTAGCTGGCACTCACTTTCAGGAGTTTCTTATATTTCCTGTTTGTATTTTTGTATTTTATGTATTTCTGAGATAATAATGAAACTGATAGCTAATGTTTACTTGCCATAGCAGAAACGGTGACTGTGTCCCCGGGTCTGCTCTGCCGCCCTCTTTAAACATAGGTATTGATAAATTATGTTATGTGCATTCATTTAAATGCTAAACAAATGAGTAGCAAATAATATCTAAGGGTTCCACTTTCCACAAAAGAACATTGTTAGCATTTGAGTTTTATTTGTTTTACTTTCTATTATTTTTTTTAACATACATGTTGGTCATATTTTTTTTCTCCCCCAACTCCTCCCAGATTTTCCATACCCATCTAACTTTCATGTGCCTTCCTCAAAAAAACAAAACAAAAGTAAAGGTCAAAGTAAACAAACAAACAAACAAAAAACCAGTAAGACAAAAAATAACAAAACAAAACAAAAAGTGCATACTAAAAATATGGAGGCTGTTTAGTATTGGACAACTTCTAGGCTTGGGGCTGCCCTGGAATGTGGCTAATACAGAGTGGCACTGCATTGTAGAAGAGTGATTTTCCCTTTCCCAGCAGGTGGCAAATGCGGATTGCTTTTAGATGAGAGGTAGGAGACAGTGTCCTTTTCCCCTTCTCTGCTGCCACCCTGTCTGGTTGGACCTGTGCTAGCCCTGTGCATGCTGCCACAGTGTGTGAGTTCATTTGTGCATCAGTCCTGTTGTAGCTTGAAGACTCTGTTTCCTTGGAGTCAGCTACCGTCTCTGGATCTTACAGTCTTTCCAGATGCTCTGTCACTTAGACCTGGGAGGGCAGGTTTCAGAAAGGTCTTCCATTTAGAACTGAGCATGCAAGTCTCACTCTCTGCTCTCAGATTGCCAATGGTGGGTCTCAGTGCTACTTTCCATCCACTCTGAGAGGAACTGTCTGATGAGGGCAAAGTGTGGCAGTGATCTGAGCCCCAGCCCAGTGCAGCAGCTGTAGGTCCTTGGTAGAGAGCTGTCCTTTTTATTGGTACACTTCAATTGGTACATTTGTCACAACTGAAGTGGTTACAAGTGTATGCACATGTGCACACACACGTATATGAAGTGCTGTTGTATATGTATAAGCACCCACATGCTTACAAAAGTGTCCATTTTATCTATGAGGGCTATAATGTTTAATACAGTTACTAGAATCCTTAGCTGTAGAATTAACATTTTGCAGGAGTTGGACTTAAGCTATAAGGAAAAGGAGAGGCTAAATGATGAGCTCCTTCTGAAGTCAGACCTGGAGATTGTTGTTCAGCAGCTTGAAGAAGAGAAGCACAGACTCAGCAAAAAATTGGAAAGTTTTGCAGTCACAGGTAAGATGCCAAATGTAAAGTTAAAAGTGATTTTGCCCTTGATATGTATTGGTAGATGATCTTTTGTGTGTTTGTTTAATAGCTTTGTTGAGTTCTTTCTGTGAACCAGAAATGATGTCAGGCAGTATGGACATAGCAGGAACCCCTCCCCTGAATTTTGACTGGTTAGTACAGGAGAAGATACTTGAATGTTTTGCAATGGAAGTGTATGCTTCTTTTTTTAATTATTTCTTTTTATTTTATGAACATTGGTGTTTTGACTGTATGTATTTCTGTGTGAGGAGGTTAGATCACCTGGAACTGGAGTTACAGACAGTTGTGAGCTATCATGTGCATGCTGGGAATCAAACCCGGGTCCTCTGGAAGAATGCCCAGTGTTTTTAACCACTGAGTCATCTCTCCAGTCCAGAAGTTTATGCTTCTTTGGCATAGAGTGAGAAGACCATTCTGAAATGGCAGAAAATTGAAGTACAGAGTCTTTTTAAGGAGTGCCATTATATTGCCTTAAAATCTGCCCATGGTGTTGCCATCTACCATTTGATGACCCATTACTCTGTAGCTCCTCACTGCATTCCAGGCAGCTTCTGTCCCCACCTCCCCAGCAGAACTGCCCTTCCAGCCTCGTGAAGCTGGACATGGTCAGTGCCCTGCACTTGTTAGCTTGTTACTTTGACAGTGACCACAGTTGCTCATTCCTTCTCACTTTCCTATTTTCTTCTGACTTCCCTGGACATGTTTTCTTGGGATGAAATGGCACAAGTTTTCTAATGTCACGGATTAGCCAGCTGCAGAAACATGCAAATGACTCCTAAGTCAGTGTCATGAATGTCTGTTCCACCAGGCTGAATTCTGTGCTGTTTCTGATGATGAAAAAGTAACTTTTCTGGTAAAAATTGTGAGTGAGCCAGATTGGATACAGTGGGGTACTCTTGCAGTCCAGGCACTGAGAGTCACAGGGCCCTTGGAGCCCAGGACTTCCAGTCAGTCTTTACACTCTAACTCAAAAGTATGGCAGAAAACTGATAACTGTGCTTATTGGAAGAAAGCTGTGAGTTGTTTGATTTCTTTGTATACGTGTTAAGTTCAAGGTCAGTGAGGTATACACCTGCCTGCTTGCTTACAGGTGCGTTTCCTTTCAGCGCTCTTTTAGGGTCTCTTAAAGCCTCCCCCTGAGATGTGATGCATTGTTTTCATTTACAGCACAAAATAGTATCCAGCTGTGATAACACCAACAGGGTGTGACCGTCACGTGTTGGATGGTTTTAATGTTAATGTTTTGCTTGTGTTTTTTTCTCGTTCTTTGTCAATACTCAGGCGGTATGTCTGGTCCTTGTGGTTGACACACAGAGCAACTCATGATTGCTGGCAGTTTGCATTCTATAAATCATGTATTTACTTGAGAAATCCACACTATATACGCTTATCACTTTAAGGCTAACAACTGTAACTTGCAGAAAGAGAACTGACTTTGGAGGTAGAAAGGATGAGGCTAGAGCACGGGATAAAACGTCGTGAGAAGTCACCCTCTCGGTTAGACATGTTCCTGAAAAGTATAGAGGAAGAGCGCGATTACTACAAGAAAGAGCTGGAGAGACTGCAGCATATCATCCAGCGGAGATCTTGTTCTGTAAATTACTGTGGACGGGAAAAACCCTCGGTACTCAAAGGCGCAGAAAAGGTAACACCCTTCCTGAGAGTAATCAAATGGGTATGTGTGTGTCACACTAGAAGCCTTTTTGCTTTCTTGCTGTCTTAACTGTAACATCACTCATACATGCTTTAAAAGTCCTAATATTGACTTTTGTTTAAGTCTGTAACTGTAATGTGGGAACCCCGCATTTTCAGGAAAACTACCCAACAATAAAGGATAACATTCTAATTCCTATAAATTTAGGTTGAATAGCTGAGTCATTTGAAAGCATGCTTTGTCTTTCAGAAACTAGGACCCAGAGACTCAGTACTGTCCATTTCTGCTCCTCTCAGGATTTATGTCGTGTGACAGTTCCACTTTCCCTCTGCTAAAGTATTAGCTCTGTCCTCATGGCACACAACATGCCTTTGTGCCATTCCCAGCTTTGTTGGTCGAGTCAGGAGCAGCATCACTTAACTGACCAGGTCTTTTCTAGACCTTCTTTGCTGGGGTAGGGTACACATCCGAAAAGCCAGCTGAGAGGACAGTTCTGTTAGCCTGCTGTAACAAGTGGGTTGAATATGTTCATTCAGAAGGTTGGACAGGATGGTAATCAAGAACACAGGTGGCTGGGTATGAAGGCCAAAAGTTCCGAGTCAGCCTGGGCTTGCATAGTGAACCAGTCTTACAGAAGTTAACTGTGTATGTACCAGTTGATTTTCCTGGTTTGTTCCTGTAAATAGGTTTGGGTTTTGTTTTGTTTGTTGTCTGTTTTTTTGATTAGGGGATTGAAACCAGGGTCCAGTGCATGTTCTGATGCTGAATTCTGTCTCTACATCTGCATGGCATTTCCTAATGGCATCTGCCACTGTATGTGTTATTAAAAGTTAGGCATGATTCCCAAGAGATTAAAGCCACATGCTCCAATTTAAGTCGTAATTGTTATCAGTGTCTTGCTATTATCAGCCGTAGTTAGATCGTCCTTTCTTTTTTACCTTAACGCTTTGAAGCTACAGAAATTCTAAAGGTTTCTATGATAATAGCGGTATCTACAGAACAGATAAAATGGATTGAAGCGAAGACAGGCATTATAGCTCAAAATATCTGATTTCAGCCTAGGCTCAACTTTCCTTATTCTGTTGCCTTTTCTATGAAGAGCTTGTATCCACTGTCTAATAGTTCTGTGCCTTTCGCTTCTGCCTTTTAACCTCATTGGCTAATGGCTATAATCTGCTGGTTAGTATCAGCACTGTGCTATGTGTTATAAGCAGAATGAATGGTGGAAAAGACAGTGCAAATTCATTTATGTTTCATTATGTTCTTATTTCTCAAGAAAAATAAGTCACTGGATTGTTCATTTTCATTGTATAAAAGAATCATAACATGGTCAGGCATGGGGGCGCATGCCTGTAATCCCAACACTTACCTGTAATCCCAGAACTCGGGGATGCAGAAGCAGGTGGATCTCCATGAGTTCAAGGCCAGCCTGGTCTACAAAGCAAGTCCAGGATGGCCAAGGCTACACAGATAAACCCTATTTCAAACAACAAAAAACAAACATAAAAGAATCATAACATGTATTACATGGCACTGGACATTAAGTAACTAAGAATTGATTCCGTTGCTTGGTTCACAGTGGGAAGACAAGTGAGCTGCGCTGAGGTGGTGGTACAGTTAGGAGATACCATGCCTTCTCTGTCTGCATTCTTCAAGTTTTATGTTACCTGGCATAGACAAAGAATTCATTTTGTATAGTTCAAAACTTTAGGAGGTTCAGAGTGTTTTGCAGCGCCAGTAATAAGCTGCAGGTGCGGTGGGCTGCTGTGGGTAAGCACATGAGCAAGAGGAGTGTGCGAGAGACAGTTGTAAGCACAGAGACTTGGGGAGTGCATTTCCTGCAAGAGAGCAGGTATTTTAAGCACTTCGTTGGCAGACAACAAAGACCTCTGGAGCTGGATTTGCTGCTTGCTGTGGCTGTCAGCTCCCTGCTTAATGGTAAGCTGTTGGGCACAGTTCCCTGGAGTTACAATAAGCCATAAAAGGGCACTTTTACCTTAGCGATCTTCACTATCACAACCTCAGTGAGCTTCTCCTGTCTTTGGTGGGAGCACCCCCCCTTAACCGTATACTCACCGTGTTTCCCAACCTGAGGTTGAGGATGGCACAAGGCTTTGGAAGTGGAAGCCTGACACAAGTCCCAGCTTCTTGCACCAGCATCTGATAGACCTCAGAGAAGCTGACTTCCTGCAGTGCTAACTCCTCATGTGTAGATCCAGAAAAAGAACTGCTCCTTCTTGTACTGGTTAGATGAGATCATTGACATAGGGGTCTTCTACTCGGGTGTCTATGTCCCCCCTAGGAAACGGTTTGTTTCTTTTATCTTGCTGCTTTAAAGCCTCTCTGATCTGTGAGAAGACTCGGTCCCTCAGAAATATACTGTCTGCTATGAATGAGGCATGTACTGTAGTGATTGTGGCGATAGTTCTTGGCCCATTGTGGTTTACATCTGTAACCCCAGTGCTGTGGGAGAGACAAGAGGATTGCTACAAATTCAAGGCCAGCCTGGCGGCAAGTCAAGTCCCAGAGCAGCCAGGGCTACACAGTGAGACCCTGTCTCAAAATAAGAAGAAAAGGAGTTCTTGGTGTGATGTTGTACCTTCAGCACTGTGTGTGTAGCTTGTTAATGGAGAATAATAGAATGGAAATAATAATAGAATAGAAATTAGTGTATATCTAATTAACACACATCTCTCAGGAGTTCAGGTTAGTGAGCACACTGAAAGTATCATGTAAATTGGGGGGTATCTCTCATTGACCCATAGCTATGACTGCTAAATAACTTTAAGACCTCACTTATATCAAGTGTGAATGAAGACTGTACAGGAGCAATTCAGAACACTTAGAGGTTTGCATGCATCTGACTCACATGAAGAATCTGGAAGGATTCCCTGTAGAAAGTGACATTTAAGCTTAAGCTAAGGCATAGACGGTAATGAAAACAGACTTGAATCTTTATTCATTACCTTCCTTTTCTAGGATCTATGCAGACTACATTCTGTAAGATGTTTTAGATGGTAGTTAGGTCACAGGTTTTCCCATATGGTTTTAAGCCTGGATTATCTTGAAATCATGATCTGTTCTTGTAGACTATCTTCCCCTTTAATGTGTCCATGAGAGCCAATCTTGCCCTTCATGCTTTAATTTTACTTATTTAACAAAAAGGTTAGCTTTTTCCTAAGTGGACGCTACCTCATACATTTCTAGCATTTACTGAGTTTTCACTGGTATTGTATATGCTCAGTGGACATCAAGTAATATAAGCCAAGTGTCCTTCCAATTGTAATGCTTATCTCATGATGTGACAAAACACCATGCCCAAGGCAACTTACTACAAAAAAAAAAAAAAGTGTTTAGTTAGGCTTATGGTTTCAAAGGGTAGAATCCATGATGGCAGAGCAAGGTGTGGCAGCAGGAACAGCTGAGAGTTCACCTTTGGATCCATAAGCAGGAGACAGAGAGCACATGGGAAAGAGAGTCTAGAAATTTCGCTGGCCCCAGGGATACACCTCCTCCAACAAGGCCACACCTCCCAGTTATTCCCAAACAGTTTCACTAACATCGAGCCAAGTATTCAAACATATGAGCCTGTAGGGGCCATTCTCATGGAAACCACCACAGTAATACAGCAGTTTATCCAAATGTCTATCTTCAGTTCCTTGACATTAACAAGCTGTAAATTTACCATCCTCATTTTCATGGTGGCAGTGAAGACTGGATCGTTTTTAATCATATTGTGATGGTAGATATTTTCTTTAAAGAGTTAGAAGTAGTTGCTTAGTCAGTGACCATCTTAATATATACTGCCTGGTGGAAATATTTCTACCTGAAACATTGCACAGCTAGCCCTCATTTGGGTATGAAGCTGGGACATTTGGGACTGTTGTACCTGAGAAACCGACCTTAATGGTCAGCCGTAGAAAACAGATACACACATCCTTCCTGGACTCCTCCTTGGCAGCGAGTTATAAAGTAGTGACTCTGAGAACTTACTGTGCACCAAAATGACATGGAAGGCTTGACAAATGTCTTCTACCCTACTTCCAAAGGTTCTAGCATGGACCCTCAACTTCATGTATATAATGAGTTTCTAGGTGCTGCTGATCTCCTGGTCTAGGGGTTATCGTTTAGTGCCACGAATGTGCACTAGGAACCTCTAAGGACAGCAATAGTGGAAGCATCTAATGAGGTCTGCACAGGTGGCATTACTGGCAGCCGTATACCTTCCTGAAAACCTAAAAGCCAGGGAAGTTGCACCGTTACTGCCAATGCTTTCATCCGTTCTCATGAGTTCTTTAATTACATTAAGAGAACGTCTGTTCTCTTGTCTGTTGGCCTGGTTCACCAGCCTCACCACCAGCATGCTTGTGACAACGACACACTGGTAATTATAACAAGTGATAACGTGCATCTTGGTAATTGTTTCAGGGTGACTGCAATCCAGACCTTCACTCCGTCACAAGAGAAAGGGATGAGCTCCAGCGCATGCTACAAAGATTTGAAAAATACATGGAGGATATACAGTCCAACGTGAAACTGTTGACTGCAGAAAGGGATAAACTAACCATCTTGTATAACGCAGTAAGGAACCGCTTGGAATCAGTTACCTGCGGCGGAACCACTGTGTTCTGCAAGTTTCACAATATCAAGGACTCATGGTTTCCTTCCTAATTTGACTGTCTTGTTATCAGAACAGATATTGCTCTCTCTTTAATGTTTCTTTATTCTCTTTTCTAGCTTATCAGTGTGTCAGATCAATTAGAGGTAGTCTTTTTTTTTCTAAAACTAACTGATCAGATCTTAGCTTGCTCTGAGCCAAAATTTTCCTAAGATTTAGACACATGTCTGGACCCCAGGGATAAACTGGGTGTGCACCCACTGTTGGAAATCTTGGCTGTTAGCCTCTAAATTCAAGTCCTGCCACACCAGCATGAGGATACCACCTGAGCTGGGCGTGGTGGTGCTCTTCTGTGACTGTAGCACTCAAGGGGTCAAGACGGGTGGCTCTTCAGAGCTTCCTGTTCACGGACCCTAGCCAGTCAGTGGCAGACAGTGCTGCACGCACACTCGTAAGGGTTAGGTCCTGGAGGAAATCTGCTCTGGGGGGGCCGGCAGCCCAGCCCTGTTACGCAGTCTGACTTAGCAGAGGGTCCTGGAGTCTGCCGCTGCTTTGCTCCACACCCGGCTCCCATGAAGCTCCTTACTGTTTTGACAAGAGGGGAAGACATGTAAGTTAAAAGAGACATTTTTACTTCCATGAGCTTCTCTAGGACTTGGCGGTGCATTAATTAAATGAATCCACTTCTGGAGTTTCGCCACAGTAGACTTAGCTCTCAGCTTTTTTGAGTCTGCCCAGTTAATTCTTCTCTGTCTGTCTGTTTCTAGTTTCCAGTGTTTTGTGGCCACAGCCTCTCTCAATCTTCTTATCTTTGGGACTTTAATATTTAATTTTAGTCCTTTTATTTTATTGGGATTTGGAAAGAAAGGGGAAGTAGCATATATTCACTATATCCCTATACCACCCCCCTTAAGAATGGATTATTTCCTAAGTATTTTTATATCTTTTAATTCTCTAAGGCAAAGGAAGAGCTGTCTGCACTAAAACAAGAGTCCAGTAGTGTGACAGTCCCCAACAGTCTTGTTAGTTGTATAGAAAAGGAGAAAGAGCGTGCACTGTCTGACTTAAGAAAAATTACGGCAGAGAAGGAAGCTCTGAAAGAAAAGTTGAAAGTAAGTAACACAGGTGTCAGCCTTTCAAAATGTAATTTATGACATATTTGGGGGAAAAGTGGAAGTATGATGCGTTTATTACACCCACCCCTCTACTGCCTCCCGTTAGGTGACTGCGCTTCCCTGCGAGGTTACTCTTTAGTGAAGTAGAGTTGGCACAGCACTCCAGCCCACACTGCACCACCTTGTTTGTGTGTGATGCTCACTAAGATACTCCACCATTGATAAAGTATTGTCCATGGCTGTTTTCATACCATGGTGGCCAAGCTGAGAAATCCAGTAGACACGTTTGCCCCCAAAGCCCTAGGCTTTCCTTATTATCCCTTACAGAAACAGCCTGCCACCCCCTGAACTCAGGATTGTTTTTAGCTCAGGAGTGGAGTCCTTTTCTTCTTCTTTTAATGATTTTATGAGTATTTTTCACTTAGCATACAATGTATTCATTTAATGAAGGGACAGTACAGTGGCTTTTGCTATTTATTTTCTCCCCTATCTTTTATAATCTTCACCATAATTTATCTTAGAAAAACTCTTCTCTACAGTAATGAGCCTTGTTTGCATTATAATAGCTTCAGTTAAAGTTTTTACACCCAAAGGCAGTGTAAGAATGTTTTTAATTGGCATCTTTTGGAATGTTGCCTCCTAGAAATTAAAAAAAAAAAAAATCAGTTAAAATTACCAGAGAGAAAGCTTCTGTGCAATACGGGAGCCTTTAGCACAAGCTTCTCACATACTTTTTTTTTTTTTTCCATATCTGTTCTAATGACCAGCAATGTAAAAACAGAATTTTAAAACTGTATTAGCACTAACAACTGGGAAAGGCTGCATTCAGATTACCAGAACTTTTCTGGGTTGTAGGAAGTGGGCTTTTTGTAAATTTACAAGAGACCTTTTCTTTAAAATACAGAACTACTCGTGTGACTCCTCCAGCCTTCTGGAGTGTTTCCTGTTGTTCCCCTGGCCACCCTCTTTTGAGCAGCCATTATGACTAAGCTCTCCTTGAAAGCTCCTAGTCACAGCTGTCAGCCAAGGCCTATGGTAGCTGCCTCCTGAACAAGAGTAGCACCCCCACCCCCAGGAGAGCTCTGTTCCAAGTGCGTTTTAATCGTGAGCCATCACAGTAGATCTTCAGAAAAGCCTCTTCTGATAGTTGCTGCTCACAGATGAGAGCCCCGTATTATAATGAATTGAAATAACTCCCCTAGCCTCACCAGTCTGTGATTTATAGTGTGAGTTCCTTTCTTTCCAGTTGTTTGCTCCTTTGTCTGCCCCCATCCTGTTGTGGTTATTATTCTCTCCTGTGAATCGTTAGAGTGGGAACCTTGTGCTCTGGTGTGTTATTAACGTTGATTTTAGACTCATTTTCAGAGATATCAATCTGGCCATGTTCCTTCTAGTAAAGCTTATTACCTGTTTACAAGATTCCTGGCTGCCAGTCCTTGCCTATTTCAAGTCTGTCATCTTCTCCCTACACCCATTTCTGCTATTTCTCCTTCTTCCCAAGGCTCCGTGCTTTCTTGCCACCAGTCTCCTGCACAGACTACTGTAAAAGTTCTCCACCTCTTTGACTGTCCCTCTTTATCTTTATCCTTTAACTCCAGGTTACACATTAGACAGTTCGGGAACACCAGCCTCTAGATTCCCTTTATGCGTGAGAATTTCAGACATGTATACAATGAAATATGATCATATATATTCCTCTTAACACCTCCCATCTCCCATCATGTTCCAGTTTCTTTTTTGATGGTGGTACCATCCACTAGGGCACAGGAATCCTAACAGTAACCGTATCCTTAAAAGGGAATGAGTCTCCCTTCTCAAGCTATCAACTGCCAGTTTCTCTTGGGTGTAGCCTAGAGATCATCTATCCCATCTATGCAAGAATTTTGGCTGGCTTGTTCTTGTATAGGTTCTGTGCAGGTAATCCCAGCAGCTGTGAGTTTCTGAGTGTGATGACCATTCCATGTCCAGAAGACAGCATTTCACAGTACCTTTCCCCCTTATTCACATCCTTTCTGCCTCCCCTTCTATGATGTTCCCTTATCCTAGTTTGGGGAGGGAGAGTTGATATAAATGTCCAGTAAAAGGCTCTTGTTCTCAGTTATGCATATCTCCAATGAAGAAGCTTCTCTGCAATGAAGAAGCTTCTTTGACCAAGGTCAAGAGAGCAGCCCGGGTCATAAATGTTTGTACAAGCATAAGAGGGGCTCTGACAGTGTGGCCATCTAGAACATTTAAACCAATAACAGATTCTGCCTTACAGACTATGGCCTTAGTAGCCTTGGGCCTTTGATCAGGCTTACAGTGTTAGACAAGCAATTCCCTTCTGTGGAGCAGGCCTCAAATCTAACCAGAAGGCAATTTCCTCATAACAGTTGTTTCGCTGTTGCACCAAGGCACATCTTACCTAGTAAATGTTGCAGCATGCTACATTCAGCATTCATGCAGCTGGATACAACTCTTGATGTCCTTCTTCCATCATATATATCACATATAACCTGCACTTCTAGCACTAATTCCTTATTTCTGAGACAAGGTCTCACGTAGCTCAGGCTGACTTAAACTTGCTTTAAAACAAAGGATCACCATGAATTCCTGACCTTCTGCCTTCATGTTTCTTCATGTTTTAATTTTAGTTTCTTGTTTTAGGTCTGTCTTTTTTTTATTTTTATTTTTTTTTTCCGAGGCTGTATATAAGCTGTGACATCAGAGACTTTACTTTATGGCTGTGCCCTATTTGGTGATTGCTATAGAGCACATGTGAGCACTGTTTAAGTGATTTAATTGACATTGCAGTGATCCCTTTAACAAGATGTATAATCAAATATTGCATACAGTTTTTTAAATGAATAGAATGACTATGAGTATGCATCTTCACTAGAAAAACTCAGTGACCATTACCTATGTATCCTTGACATGGCAGCAGTTGAGACTTGAGTGAGGTAATATAACCAGAAAAGTAGCCTTCATTGATACCCTGGTCTCATGGTGTTCTCTTGCCTATATCTGGTCATGTATTTTCTTCTTTGTATACTGTTTTTCTTGCATCTGAGTGAGAGCTCAGCAATAAAACACTAACCTAGTGTGAGGCTCCCAGTTCAATCAGCAGCACTATAAAAAAGAAATAAATGGAAAGTCGGGGGGTCTTTATATCTCCTCTTGTGGGGACACATGTGTGATTGTGACTTAGTATGCTGTTCTCTGTATGACGCCTGTGGTAACAAGGATCAGTCTGCATAAGTCTTTATAAATGAGTCTGCTCTGATTTCTCTTCTGCATGACACATGAAAGTAGGACATGCAACTTTTTCTAACTGAAAGAATGCTTTTATAGAATGCCTGGCCTTTCTAAAACAGCCAATGATTCTATGAAATAGGAAACATAGCTCTGCAAACATGAATTACTTACTTTCATGATTATTTGATACAAATGAACATTTTCTATAAAATTCTTTTTCAGAATATCCAAGAATTGAACGCTTTTGGAAAATCAGAATTAGAGAAAACTATTGAAAATTTGACATATATTAATCACCAGGTAATTTATCAAAGGATTTGGGGCATATTGTGTTAGACGAATGACTGTGCCAGTTATGCTTTTAGTATACTCTAGATTTTTAAAATATACAAAGAAGAGGGGTGTGTGCTCTGGGCTTGTTACTTGGTTCAAATCTGGCTTTCTGTCTAGACCAGTTTCTTTCAGCTTTTTCATTTATAATGTAGGAGTAGTATGTCTATTTTCTCAGTGCTCTGTAGGTTGGGGTTTAGTGAAGATTTTTTTTTCTGGCCCATTTGTGTTTCTGTATTGTCTGTATCTGCTGTTTCACTGGGGTAATGGTGACAGACGATAGGTCCCACAGAGCCTAAACTGTTTATTTGAACCAATATGTGATTATCAATCACACAGTGGAGTGCCATTGAGCAGAAATGTGATGAACATAACTAACATCAACATGTATGAGTGGTGCAAACGCAGCTGTGCCCAAACAGGAAGTTGCTAAAGAAATAACGTAGTGTGATTCTACTCATGTAAAGTTCAAAAACAAGCTAAACCAGACAGTGCATGGCTTAAGAAGTAATGTGACTGTGATGCATTGACGAAAAGCAAGATGCTTGGTGCCACGGTGCATACCTGAAGATTCAGCCATATGGGAGGGTGAGGCAGGGGCATCATTTGAGCATAGGAGTTCAAGGATATCCCATGGAACACAGCAAGATCCTGTCTAAAAAACAAAACAGAGAAGAAATGATTTTGAGTTTGTGTGGCAGAAAAAGAATATGACTTAAGGGCTGCCATGGAGGGTCAGATAATAACTTTTTAAGCCACAGAAGAGATACTCTTTTGATTTAGGATTTCTTCATATTGTACATATTCTTGTATGGGAAAGATAGGTGTTTTTGCTTGTCCATTTCTACATGAAGTCCAGTTTTAATTACAGTAGCTTTATTGTTTATTTAGTATCTCTCTCGGTTAAGTTTATTTGCATTCTCTATCCCACGATTTGTTTTGTTTTTTTCCTCTTCTAAATGAATTTAAGCATAAAGTGTAAGATTCCATCCTTTTAAAAGCAATTTACTTAAGATTTGCTTTTATTGGCATTTTATTGAGTTTATAATTTGGTGAATTATTTTGCTTGTTTTTGTTTTCAAGACAGGGTTTCCTATGTCCTGGACTTTGTACACCAGGCTGGCCTCGAACTCACAAGGATTTGCCTGCCTCTGCCTCCTGAGAGTGCTGGGATTAAAGGAGTGCACCACTGCACCAGGCAGTTTAGTGAAATTTTAACCCATTGAAAGTCTTATGTTTCCACCCAGAGAAGCATGTTAAGTCAGATTATTATATTAAGTCTATATTAAGTCAGATCTTATTTTATACATTCAAGGAAAACTTCCACTTCGTTTCTCACATAAATCTTGTCCATTTTGTGGTTACATTCTTTTCAACTCTCAATTTTGTATAATTCCTGTCTATTTACTGCAGGTTTCAAGGTTTCTTTGGGGGGTGTGGTGGGTGGGAAAGGGGAGTCTGTCGGTTCCCAAACCTGGAAATGAATGATAGAACGGGTTTTTGTGGGTTTTGTTTGAGTTTTAAGAAGTCCTTCTGATTTTTCATCCTGCTTCTAGTTTTCCTTCCTTGCTGTTATGGATTTATTCCTTTTCTTTTTGTTCACATGTTTTCTCTCATTGTAGTGATGGTGAGGAAGGGCAAGTGGATGCACCTGCCTGACATGTCGGTCCTAAGAGTACAGATGGCATTCAGTGTTTTAAAGAGCTAATGTATTTCTGTAATTGTCTTCCAGAAAATAGCATTAAAGAGTAGATATGAAAAAGAAGACATTACCATCCACGCTTATTAATTTTTTTAATTTAAATTATAGCTTGAAAATGAAAAATATGAGTTGCAATCTAAGATGTTAATAATGAAAGAGACAATAGAGTCATTAGAGAACAAATCAAAACTCCAAGCTAAGTTTAGCCATGTGACTGGTGACTCATCTCATCCGAAAACAGAGGTGAACTCTCTTAGGTAAGTCTATTAAAGCTTCATTATTTCACCCGTGGGACATGCTTCTTCTGCGTATGCAAGGCCTGTAACCGTGGTGTTTTGGTCTGTGCCTTTGAACAGTGGTTTCCCAAGTTGGCTTCACGGTATAGTCTCCCGGGAGCTTTTAGGAGTGATGAGGGAGGTCTTTCAGCGCCCTGATTTGCTGAGTGTATCTGGAGAGATCTGGGTATCCATGGTTTTGAAACTCTCACAGGTTGACATAATCCTCAGGAAGTTCTCTGCCCTGTCGGCATTTAAAGTCCATCTTAGTAGATCATGGAGACTCTGTGCTCTGCAGGGAAGGACTGCAGGGATCTCAGCCCTTCTGCCATGTGGGCCATTTCCTTCTTTTCCTCACCTTATTTTAATTATTATATATTAATGTTATGTTGTTTCTTCTTAATATGAAGTCCAAATGGCTCATGTCATATGTTTAACTGTTTCTGATATGGAAACAGAAAAATTAACCAAGGGGTAGGGAAGCTAACTATGACAGAACATAGATCATGGATTTGAAGTCTGAGAGCCGAATGACAGGCAAAGCAGATCATGGGCCAGGACCCAGACAGGAGCTAGGAACCCTAAGGGCAAAAGCAAATTTAAGAAATGTTTCTTTCATAAAATCAAAAGGTGACACACATGGGAATAAAACAGTAATCCATAATGAACAAATTGGGATATTGGGCTACTGGTTAACCATTTGTCTGTTTCAAGTACATACAACTTAAGGAAAGGAAGCTAAGAGTGTTATCTGCCCCGCATAGCTGTCATGAACAAAAAAGATAAGGGAAGGTTGGTAGAAGTTCTCTACTCTGAAGAGCCGAAGGGGATCTCTTTCTCTAAGTTTTATTTACCATAAAAATTAGGGAAATCATCAGATGTTAACAAAGTTTTTGTGCACCTTAGTCTTGACGCAGTAACATGATCAGAAAGGATGGTAGTGATGATTTTTTTTTTTAAATTGGTGCATTACAGCTGAAAGATTATTGCGTAGTAGATTGGCTACTGTAGAAAATTGATTTGGTAAAATAAAGGGCAAGAATTGCACCTGCACTTCAGAAGGACAAAAAGAGATGAGACTGAAAGAGACAGAGTCCATGTACAAAACCCAGGAGTCACAACAGTATAGTTGATGAAATAGCAGAAGCATGATGCGAAGATTAGGAAGAGAGAGGCCTAAGAAAAGATTCATAGGGGCTCTTGGGTTATCAAGTGACTTAAAGAACTAAGACCAAAACCAGCCTTCGCTCCCCCAGATGCCTGACTGCCATCTCCATCAGGAGGGCTTTAGGAAAAGCTCAAGGAAACAGGTCTTCCCTGCGCCTGCTTTACATCTGGGCGTGTTCTGTGGAGGAGAGCAAAGTGAGCCTCCCCTCTTCTGCTCTGTCTTCAGTTTCAAAGTACCTGCAGAGAACGGGTGCTGTATTTTTTCTGCAGAATTGCCTGTCTACCTTTCTGCTTTTGTATCCAGCTGAGCAGAGCTGGCATTTTTCTTTTCCTCCAGATCTAAACCATATCACTGCTTTACTTTCTCACTGAAGACTCTGGAGACAGCTGCTGTCCTCTTTGGGATGCTGTAGACTGGTCTATAGCTCCTTTGCAGTTTTCTTCTGATCCTAATATCATTTTATTGTATCAGCTTGCGTCTGCCTTTACCTTTTTGCCATTCAGTCACTGTGCAATAGGAAAGGATTATGGGAATTGTTCTCTCTACCTTGCATAGTGCATGATCTTAGTGCTTTGCACTAACCAAATCTCTCTGTGTGTGTGTGTGTGTGAGAGAGAGAGAGAGAAAGGGAGGGAGGGAGAGAGAGAGATGGGAGGACTTATCTCTAAGGCCAGTTTGTCTTCAACATTCTGTTGGTAAACATTGGTAAAAACTTGAGTTTGAACTCTCAGGTCTAAATTCAACACTAAACCCATTACAAACCACAACACAAACCTTTGCAGAAGCAGAAGGACATTGTCCAAACCTTGTGCTATTTTCATTGTGGTTCATAGCGCTCTCATTACTATGATTCCATTATGTTCCAGAAGCTGATTCTCAGGTATGTGAGGTAGATACTTCTTTCTACCTCATGGGCCATCTCTCTTGCTGTGTTAGGCATTTTGTTTTGTTTTTTGTTGTTGTTGTTTTGTTCTGTTTTCCCGCACTAAATTTCCATGCTACAAACAGGCCTTCTGGATCAGGCACAGCCTCCAATTGTAGAAATAGAGGGTCTTTGTCTGGTCTCCCGGTGTAGCATCAAGGTGGTATGGAAACAGTCATTTTGAAAGTGTTAATGACTCTTATCTCGTGAACTGCATCATTTAACGAGGTCTAGCAGTTTATACCCTAACTCAGGCCTCCAGGATATAGTAAGGAAATGTCTGTGTGCAGGGATGATAGCTCTTGACATCTCTGCTTGCTAGCCAGTCTTCTAGAACTGGGGTCCGCAAACTTACTGTTAGTACTCAGTATTGTAGACTGTGTGGGCTCTGGAGTTTCTGTTACACCTTGAAAAACCAGCTTCTGAAATGCAAATGTTGTTGTAGACAGTGTGTAAGCGAATGAACATGGTTCTGGCCCATTACAAATTATTTATAGATACTGAAATTTGGATTTAATTTAGTTTTTACGTCGCAGAATGTTTTACTGTGGAATTTTTTTTCACTCACTTAAGCATAAAAATTCTTTGTAGCTAGAAAGAAATAAGCAATAGGCCATGGTTCGTTAACCCTTGCTCAAGGATAAACTGTTTTCCAGCCCACTTAGACAACTCGCTTTTCTCAATCACTCCATGGCAGACATTAATTTTTGTACCTGCTGGCAATGAGGCTCCAAACAATGATGCAACTGAAAGCTGTCATGTTGTTTTCAGGTCACTTTTACTTTTTTGTGGGTTTTTACTGTTGCTCAGACATGAGCTCAAATCTCTGTGCTTAAGAAAGTGGTCTTCCCACTTAACCTAGATGCTGTGTACACAGCACTCTGCTACGTTAGTCTCCAGTACATCAGTTAAAGCCAGGAGTGCTACATATTTATATAGGATGGAAAACATGCAATAGCAGAGTTTCCTGGAAATGACCTATGAACTCTATGTGCATTATAATTATGCCAATAGGTTTCAGTTGTTTTATTGGTATTTGTTTAGATATACTCAGAAATGTACAGATATATTAAAATGTTAGATATATTCAGAAATATTAGATATATCCAGATATATTCAGCTAGTTTCCCTTGAAAAATATTTGCTAACGAATCAGAAATCATTTTAGATAAGGGAAAGAAAGATTCATAGATTGCCTGGGATGCCTAACACTGTTTTGGGGGGTATCTCTACCATATTTTCTTAATAATAAGAACAAGAACATTGTCACAGAATGATACTGGCTGAGCTTGTGGAGCTAATGTTGCAACTGTTCCTATCCCTCTTCCTTCTCTGGTGCTCTGTGTGACATTATTCCTAGACTTTAGAGTGACATGTAAAGACGACGTTACTTCTGCCTAGAGTTTGAAGCACTGTCAACCATTTGCTCTTCAGTAAGGCCTCTGTGCATCATCCCATTTTCCTGTCACTTAAAGCAGTGATCTTCAGCTTGTGGGTTGTGGCCCCTTTGGGGAGCTGAATTTTCAACAGGGTTGCCTACGACCGGGAAACACAGATATTTACAATTCATAATAGTAGCAAAATTACAGTTATGAAGTAGCAACAACAATAATCTTATGGTTGGGGTCATCACACCATGGGGAACGTAGTAAATGGCCGCAGCATTAGGAAGGCTGAGGACACAGACTTAGAGGGTATTGCGTCCCTGCGTTCTTCACAGAAAGCAGTATGAGCCAGCTTAGCGTTGCACCTTTGCCCGGTACTTTTGTGATCCTGGACAAGTTGTTCCCATAAACTTGGGGACATAGTTGCAACGGAACTACTCCAGGAACAAATGAACACAGTCCCTTCCCCTTATGCTGTCCCTGCACACCGTGGCTCTCGATTTCAGGAGCAGCCACCTCAGCTCTCAAATCAAATCGTCCAAACCTGACGTCTTTCTGACTTGGTTGGTCCAGCTCTGCTGTCATCTCCACCTCTCGGTCGTCATCATTCACTTGCTGTGAGAACTCTCAGTGTCGATGTCTCGTCTTTCAGAGTGCCCCAGTGTTCCTATAAAGCTTCATCTATTTAGAAATGTCCCATTTTACTCATCCTTTTGGGAACTAGATCTCTTGCTCATTAGGCATTTCTAAGTCAAGCTACTCTTAGTATCTTCAGTGTCTTAGCCTCAAAGGAAACGCAAAGGGAAATTATTCCCAGCAAATTGTCTGGCCAGGCAGGGTAAATGCTTCCCTCTTAGAACTGGAAGCATTTGGAAGCTGTAACTATGACAGCTTCCAAGATGTTACTTCTGAAAAGAAAGAGTTAGTTCCAACTAGTAACTCTGGAGACAATCTTTCCCATAGACAGCCTAAACTGCCATGAATCCCTCCCCTGCTCCCCAAAACCAGCCCTTCATGTTATCCCATCACACTATAAGAAATGCTTGCCTTTTTAGCACTGTGACCTACGTCTGCCACTCAAAGAAGCAAACTTATAAGCTCACATGGTCAGGATGGTGAGGACTTAGAGTTTGGAGTGCCCAGCCATGTTATAAAAACAGGGTTTTCTCTTTGCCTCTATATCAGAAATAGATTTTGAGGAAAAGGGGGTTGATGTTAAGAAACTGAGGAGAACTTTAAAAGTACCGAGAAACTTCTAGAAAAGAATATACAATTAATTTCACTTTTATACCATATTATTTTTAGGAAAATGGAACCTTTTTGGAGAAGAATGGTGAACAGTAAGAATAATATTGTATAGTAGCATGTCATTGATAATACTGGAAGAGCTTTATAATAAGAAATAAAAGAAACAAATAATAAAATATTTTAAGACTGCTCATTTAACAAAGCTATTTCTGTGAGAGATAAAGAATGCCATTTGTTTTGTCCACTGATTTAGGATAGTAAATGAGCAGCTTCAGCGGTCACTTGATGACACTCAGAACCGACTTGCCTTAAAAAGAGGTGAACTTGAATCAGCCCAAGAACAAATTAGACTTCTGGAGGAAAATCTAGGTGAGCCTTTTGAAATTTTGCTTCTGTGAACCTGAATTGTCTCCACCTAACAGACATTTCCCTCCCTCTGTAGAGAAAATAAGGCGTGAGATGACGTCACAGAGCGAAGAAACACAGGCAATGAAGAAGACCATTGGAGTGATTGACAAGGAAAAGGACTTTCTCCAGGAGACTGTGGATGAGAAGACAGAAAAGATTGCCAGCTTGCAAGAGAGCCTCATCAGTAAAGTATGTATCTATCCCGTGGTCTCCGGCATCTCAGCAGGGAGTCTGGGTATTCTTCACTCGAAATATGCAGTTTTTACGGCCATGAGGAATTCCTGAGACCCAAAGCTCTGTCTGCAACAGAGCTTCTGTCCTAGTAGTTGGATTCACTACGATGGGATTTCATCTATTTCTAGAATGTGATTTTGCACACTTTGAAGAAACCACTTCAGTTCTTAGGTGGGAAGAAACATGCCAAGTTGTGACATAGAGATGGGTATAGAAATATGTCTATTTAGAGCTTGCTTTTATGTATAATTTATGTAATTGAACTGTATATTTAACTACTTTCCTAAATTTAGTAAATTATGCAAATTTAGCTAAAGAGGATTCTGTATGAATGACTGAAATCTTTTATGTTGCTGTAATTTTTCCAGGACAAAGTTATTGCCCAAATGAAGGTCACAGTCACAGAGTATGAAATGTCGTTGAAGTAAGTAATCAATGTAATGTAGTCTGAGTTTGAGAAATTTCCAGCAAATAAGGCCTTCCCTTCTTAGCAGAGTCTAGAGAGGGGGTTTGTCCTGTGACGTTTGTGGCTTTGCTGGTGGCAGTCTGGCTTTCTCAGAGCAGGGCTTTCTCAGTCCCTGCTCTGACTTCTCCTGCCACTGTCGTATCCTATTGCCTTTGCTTTCATCTGCTTGTTCTTGGTGCTTATGTAATCATCTCTTTAAGTCCTATCATCTCAACTTAGATTGCTGTAGTAGCTAGCTTTTGCATTTGTTTTTCACTTAAACCTGTCTTGAACACTCCTGAAATTTTTCAGATTGTATCTGGTCTCCATAAAGATTGTAAGCTATCTTAAAAAAGGAGTCACTAATTATGTTTATTTTGCTTGCCTTTACATTTTATATAATAATAGAAATATAAACAGTAAATATTTAATGTAGTTCTATATTGTATTTTATTTTGAACACTTAAATATGTTATGTTTGCTTAAGTTGTGGAGTGATGTTTATTTTATGACCTTATGTGCATATAATGCTTGAGAGAAATCTAAGGCACCTGAGTATTTTTAGTTGGTGTCCAAAGGCAGCCGTTATACTCTCCTGTACTCACACTTAGTGAGACTGCTGTGGTCTTATTTTAAGTGAGCTAGAGTTTTCCGTAATGCTTTCCTCTTTCGCAGCCAGCTAAAGGAAACCTTGGCCAATCGGGACCGAGAGATAAGCAGCCTACGACGCCAGCTCGATGCGGCTCACAAGGAGCTGGAAGAAGTTGGGAAATCTAGAGAGATGTGTTTTAAGGAGAACAGAAGGTTACAAGATGACCTGGCCACGGTGGCAAGGGAAAACCAGGTATGAAGCAGGCAGAGATTTGTCATTTGTCGTCTACGTATTAAATTTCTAAATGTTTTCTGTCATGCAATAGTGTTGAAAGTCTAACTTCTTGAGGGGGCTGGTATCTGCCAGGGTGCTGGCAAGGCCAGTTCTCAGAATGCAGCCCTCACAGGTCTGAGCAGTGCAGCGGCGGTCTTCTTTCCAGCTGGAGTTGAACTTTCTTCCTAGGGTTTTGTTTGTTTTGACACAGGGTCACAGGTAGCCCCAGCTGGCCTTGAACTCCCTATGTAGCCCAGGCTGATCCTGGTCCTCTTCTTTGGCCTCCCAAGTCAGAATGGCAGGTATATGTCACCAGCCTGATAACCATTTGATTTTAGTTGATAGGGACATGGCTTTTGTTGTGGTAGAAGTCACGGTTACAGGATTGGGTGAGGACGGCAGTATTACTGTTAGGGCACCTCTTCTTTATTTATAAGGACCATGAGAGGGTTTAGTGATTTGTGCTTGCTTCAATTGTCTCAGATACATGTCTGTGAATAAATAAAAGGACATTTTAAATGGTAGCTATTGTACAGTTTTATTTGTACTGGTTTATTTCAGGATGATGCTATGAAAACTGATGATTTCTTTTATGCTTAAGAAATTACTTTCAGTTTTGTTCAGTAACATACATTGAATAATATTGCAGTTATGTCGACTACTGACATAACTGGCCCTGACATAAAGCCAAATACAAGGTCACACCTGTCATGGGAGTCTCATGGCAAAGTTTGCTAAAATGTCAAGGTCAGGGCTGGGGAGAAGGCTCAGGTGGTAAGAGCGCTTGCTGTGAAATGAAAGTAAGGTGTTCTGAGTTCAAATCCCAGCACCCACATGAAAGCCTAGCACAGCTGCCTGTGACCCCAGAGCTGGAGTCATAGATGTCAGATTCCAGCCAGCCTCGCTGAAATGGGGAGCTTCAGTTTCAGTGAGAGAACAGGGGGGCTGTCCTCCTCCTCCTCTGCTCTACATGTGCACATCAGCTTGTATTCCCATACACATATGCATACACTACACACACATGCACACATACACACACACACTGTACATGCATACACTACACATGCACACATACATACTACACACACACAAACACGCATACTTTGCGCATACCGCATTATCAAGCTCACGCATGCACACATGCTGCACGCACACACTGCGCATGTGCAAACAGAAACACACACACACATACACACACACACACACACCAAAGTCAGTCATAGAAAAATAACACAATAGAGGTTTTCCCATTTTTCTTCTTCAATTGCAAAGGAGGTGTTTGTACATAACTAGAGCTTGACCCTGGATCTTTCCGATTTGCTGACTTACAGGAAATCTCAATTGAATTAGAAGCAGCAGTGCAAGAGAAAGATGAAATGAAGAGCAGAGTTCACAAGTACATCACTGAGGTGTCAAGATGGGAGAACCTAATGGCTTCTAAGGTGAACATCGGTGTCTAGCTTGGATTTAAGACTGGCTTTCTAAGACCGCTCTTGTGTGTTTAATTCTGCCCCAGGGTTAGATATTAAACATTTGAGAGTAGAGTCCTTCCTAATAATGTTGTATTTCCCTGCGGATCTTAGTACAGTACCTACACACATACTGATGTTTCCTAAATTCACACAATTGTGTGTGTGTGTGTGTGTGTGTGTGTGTGATACAGATGTTCCCTTGACAGAACTGACTTAGAAATAATGTAATTGCTCATAAACCAGGAAAAAGAAAACCAAGACTTACTGGACAGATTCCAGATGCTTCATGACCAAGCTGAGGACTGGGAGATCAAAGCGCAGCAAGCGGAAGGGCAGAACAGCTCAGTGCGCCTGGAGCTGCTGTCCATCGACACGGAGCGGAGACACCTGCGGGAGCGAGTGGAACTCCTGGAGAAGGAGATCCAGGAGGTAAGGCTCTGCCGTTCAGCCAGGATGCCACTGAGGGAATGACATGCTCAGGGGCACCGTCTGTGGTGAGGCTGTGGCCACTGCCGACCTCCAGCTCAGAGCTAACACTTTGCCACAAACGCTCATAACTCGCTCAGGTGCCCCGTTATTTTTTCATAATAGTAAGATTTGGGAGACGTAAGATTTGCCATGTAGCCACTCAAATGTGTGTTCCTGTGGCGTCAAGTCGTTCTTAACACAGCAGCAGTCTCCACCTTGTGGGTTCTTCCATCTTCCCCAGGCTCGCTTAATCTCAAAATGCATCTCTCTCAGACCATGCTTTGTCCTTTTCCAAAGCTGCCTAATAGTGTATTAAAATGCACTGCAGCCATTCACCTTCCGGGGAAGTTTGTTTATTTCCACATTTTGCATACTGACAGTCATGTTTCTGTTAACATGATGTGCTAGATACTTTCATGGTTGCTGCGATAAAATAACCAGCAAAGAGCTAGAGGAATAAGCTTTCATCATAATGACAGTTGAATAAAACTTTTGAGTTCAGTTAAATTAATAAGGACTGTCAGTTTGATATAAATATATAGCTTGTTTGTTTTCTTGATAAAATTTTCATCTTTCAGAAGAAAGTAATGACTCTGTACTGCACAGAGTTAGAGTCTCCAAATTTATATATATATATATATATATATATATATATATATATACATACATACATATATATATTTATATATACATTTATATATATTTATTTATACATATATATGTGTATATATATATATATATATGTATATATAATATATGTGTGTGTCCTAAACTTTATACTCTTATTTTGCAGTAGTGTCTGCAGATATAATCAGGTAAGACGAGGCCATGCCTGAGACTAATACCCTTATAAAAAGAGGGCAATTTAGAGCAGCAAAGACAGAGCGAAGACCACCATGCAAAAATGGAGGCAGTCATTGTTGATAGTTGTTTGCTAGTGACTTCTGGACCTAGGATGCAGACATGGCATGAATTCTGCTTCAGAATCTCCAGAAGGAACCATCTCTGCTGTCACTTGACATTAGCATTTCTAGCCCCTGCAACTGTGAGGAGAAAATTTCTGGTTTTAGCCACTAAAGTTGTGGCCGTTTGCTGCTGCAACCCCAGAACACTAATTCAGATTTGGGCATCAAGAAGAGGATCACTGCTGTAACAAACATTGGAAAATCTAGACTTCTTAGAATTGGTAATGAACAGAAACTAGAAAAGTTTTGAGGTGTGTGGTAGGAAAAGCCTGGATTATCTTGAAGAGATAGTTATAGATGTGTCAGTGTTGTGAGCTTCATAAATGGGAGAAAGCTGACCTGAATATAGCTCAGTTGGGGAAATGCCTGTCTAGCATGCGTGAAGCCCTGACTTTGAGCCCCAGAACCACACAACCAGGTGTGCTGACACGTGCCTACACTCCCAGCACCTGGAAGACTGTAAAATCATCCTGATTTACTTAAGGAATTCTAGGCCAGCTTGAACTGTAGGAGATACTGTCTCTAGGTAAGTGAACTTTAAAAAGAGGAGATAAAATTTTTTTAAATATAGAATACATGTATTATTATAAATGGAATGAATGTTTCTTCTAGCAAGGTGTCAAATAGAATTGAAGAATATATTACTGGACACTGGAAAAAGGGTGACCCTGTTGTAAAGAATATGGCAAAATTGCATATAGTGTTAGGAAGACAATGGACCATGTAAGAGATGGATTTTAACATTTAACTGAGATGCTCATTCAGAGTGTGGGAGGAAAGCCTTGTTTATGAGGGAGGGTGCAGAAGGAACTGTCAAGCAAAAGAACCAAACCTTAATGGCCTTAAAAAGTATTTCCGCATGTCGTTGTAATATTCTCTTTAGGCAGGGCCGGTAGTGTGACTGGATCCAGTCAGCCATCTCAGCAGAAATTCCAGCTGATACTGAAAGAGACATGAAGTGCAAGGAAGACTTTTGGGTTTGTGGGATCTTACTAGAGGAAGATGGTCCACTGTGGCTACCTGTCACCTTTAAGGAAAGGAAAGAATGACTCTACTAGTGGTCCAGAAGCCACAGTGGCACTCCAAAAGGCAGTTCAGAGGCTTGCGGTTCTTTCACTCCCATGAGAAGCCAGAAGCCATGGACCTAGGCTTGGTGATCGAGGTAGGACTCCTATCCCCTAGGACTAAGGAAGTGAACATCCTGGTATGCCAGGGAACGGTGCAGTAGTCCACAGACAAAGCATTCTTAAGATTTGAAATTGTCCTTTAGAGGACCCCTGTGGACGGCTCCTGTCCTCTTCTCTGTCTTATCCTACTTCCGATGTCTATCCTGTTTGCCCTTCTGAATGAGGTTTCAGCCTCTTCCTTAGGGTCCTTCTTGCTGTTTAGCTTCTTTAGGACTATAGATTTTAGTATGTTTATGCTATATTATATGTCAAATATCCACTTACAAGTGAGTGTATACCTTGTGTGTCTTTCTGCTTCTGGGTTACCTCACTCAGGATGATCTTTTCTAGTTCCATCCTGTGCCTGCAAATTTCATGATCGGGGTATCAAAGTAGATGCTAAGATTCATAGCCAAACTTTGGGCAGAGTGTAGGGAATCTTATAAAAGAAGAAGGAGATGAAAGACCTGGAGGAGACAGGAGCTCCAAAAGGAGACCAACAGAGTCAAAAATATCTGGGCCCAGGGGCCCCTGCAGAGACTGATACCCCAACTAAGGACCATGTATGGAGAAGACCTAAAACCCAAGCTCAGATGTAGCCCATAGACTCAGTCTCGAAGTGGGCTCCCTCTGGGGCTGTCTCCGGCATGAACTCAGTGGCTGGCTCTTTGATCACCTCCCCTGAGGGGGTGGGGTAGCAGCCTTACCAGGCCACAGAGGAAGACAATGTAGCCAGTCCTGATGAGACCTGATAGGCTAGGGTCAGATGGAAGGAGAGGAGGACCTCCAGTATCAGTTGACTAGGGGAGGGGCATAGGGGGAGAAGAGGGAGGGAGGGCAGAATTGGGAGGGGATGAAGGAGGGGATACAAAGTGAATAAATTATAATAAATAATAAAAACATAAAGGAAAAAAAGACTTGAGATTGAATAGAGGTTATCTTGCTTGGTTCCAGATTTGCTTTAGGCTAGGGTTATGGTTTGGATCTCACGTCTCCTAAAAACTTGTTCAGCAGCCTGTGGTGTTACTGTGACGGGCTGGAGTCTTTAACAAGCGGAACCTCACTGAAGAAGTTAGCTCACTGGCTACATCTCTGAGGGGATAGTGGACTTTGGTTCTTCCTTTGCCCACTTTTGCTCCCTGGCTGCAATGAGATGAGTGGACTCCCTTGGGCAGAATTGGCCACACAATTATGTCATGATATATTTACTGCCTCACCACAACTCAAAAGCAATGGGGCCAAGTGACCATGGGCTGAAATCTCTAGAACTGTGAGCCAAAATATTTTTTCCTTCGAGATGATTCTTCAGTGTTTTATCATAGTGAATGAAAGCCGACTAACACAACCGTTAGCCAGCTCCATTCCTCTTCCTCTCCTGTTGGGAATGCAGCTGTCTGCTGTGTGTCTAACACACTATGGAATTTGGTAGCAGACAACTTGTTTTCTAGTATTAGAGGTTGGTAGGTAGAGAAAAATGTTACCGCCAAATATACCAGGGTCATATTTGTACACAATTTAGATGATGCGTAAGTGATATGAGAACTGATGCTTTTGCTGTAGATGGGAGGCCACGGACTTGGTGCAGTGGGTAAAGGGACTGCCTTGTGAAGCCAGAGATCGGAGTTTTATTTCTAGATCCCACTTGGTAGGAAGACAAAACTAACAGCAGCAAGCTGTTCTTTGCTCTTCACACAAATGCTCCCAACCCCTAAACACAGATTCAAAAAATTAAACCTATTAAGTAAAAGAATGTGGCTACAGTGGAGGTGTTTCATGCTTGAGAAGGACCTAAACCTTGCAGGGCTTCTGCGTAGGTAGAACTATGCCTGCTGAAGAATTTCCTCAAATGCCTACCTCCTCGTGAATGTGACCTTCTGAAAGCCGTGTCTCTGCAGACATGGTTAAGATTAGCTCATGCTGGGTAAGGCAGACCATGATCTGGTGAACAGCCCATGTCTCTCTAAGATGAGGGGGATTTGAAATTGGAGGTAGAGGTGTCTACAAGGCAATGTGATTGCCACAAACAGCAGAGAGACTTAGGAGAGATTCATAGAGTTCTGTCTGCTTCAGAGTCTCCACAAGGAGACTCTGGAGGTTAAGGAGCCCTTAACCTCTGGGCTAGAGAAATGGCTCAGTAGTTAGGAGCTCTGGCTGTCCTTACAAAGGCCTTGGGTTTGATTCCCAGCACTTACATGGTATTGTAACTCCAGTTTCAAGGGGATCTGATGCCCCCTTCTGGCCTCTGTGGGAACTGCATGCACATGGTATAGAGACTTGTAAAACACCCATAACACATAAAGTTAAAAAAATAATGGCCTGCAGCTTCCAGATCTGAAGGGGAAATGATGATACTTGGTGTTTTTAGTAGTTTTTGTGGTTGTGATAAAGCACCATGACCAAAAAAGACTTAGGAAAGAAAGAGTTTACTTTGGTTTCTGGATCCAGAGGGTGAATCCTTAATAGGGTTGAGGGAGGCATAGTAGCAGGAGGCCAGAACAGGAAGCTGAGATCACACCTTCAGTCACACATAGAGTGCCACCAACTGGGGACCAAGTTCAGGTCCATGAGCCCAGGAGGACATTGCTCAGTCAGGCCACCACGCAGTTTGCAGCAATCTGTAATGGCCGGCCTCCATACCAGCAGAATAACCCTGCAGATTTTCTGTCAAAGACATGCTTCTCTGCTTTTCATAGTTTCTTAGAGGCAATTTGTAAAGGTAAATTCTATTCGCCTGATTTGTCATCTCCAAGCCTAACTGCTTCTGTCCGCTAACGTAGGCCTAGTCCTAGAAGCTTCTAGCCTCCACGCAGTCTAACCTCAGCCTTGAATATTCTCAGCCTCTGAGACTTACTGTTGAATATGCACACCCTTTCTAGTTTCTTCTGATCTTTGGTTGGCCTGGAACTCAGATATGCTTGCCTCTCTCTCCTGGGATTAAAGGTGTGTCTATATTCTAGCCAGATCATATACATCTTTGGATGTGATTTCTTGCCAGAGAAGCCATGTTCTGAATTAAAATTCCTGTACAGTGATTCCTTATTTTTTTAATTCTTTATTATTGGCAGTATTCTTATATGATATTTAAAATGAGTTTTTGTAGGTTTTTGTTTATTTTGTTGGTTTTGCAGTGGTACGGTTGTGTGCTGGACCTCATGCATGCTGGGGAAATGTCCTACGTGAGCTGCACTGCTAGCCTAGCTTTATGCACTTGTAGTTAATTTGTTTGGGGGAACTGCTGTTTGCTGAAGTTATTAATGTTGGAAAATTCAACTGTTTACTTTTTTGTAGCTGTGATATCTAATCTTCATTGCACAATATTGGTTTTTTTATTGATTGATTTCTGTGAACTCTGTTAAAGTCATTCTGCTTTTTTTAAGAGTGCCTCTCTTCCTAAAACCCCAAAGTAGAGTTTATATAAATACATAATTCTCACATAAAATTTAAATAAGAAGTGTAAAATATAGGTTATTAGGAAAGTCTTTTATCAGCATTTTAAATTTTGTTCATAATTTTAAAATTACTAAAATCTTATAAAGTTATCCAATGAAACTAGACTAAATTTAAATATAAATTCACATGTTTTGTTTTGAAATTTAGAATTTAAGAGAATGATTTGAAAATATATATAAATATTTGTATATTATATGTTACTATTTGATGAGAAAAACTATTATAACGAGGGACATTTATAATGAAAAAACTTTAAAGATTACTCATATTCACAACATTTTAGTATAATTTTCATCTTTGTATCTTCTAAATGTATACATGAGATATTTAGTTATGATGATTAATAATTTTATTCCTTTTATGCATTAACTAGGCCATCTTAAAATAGCACATTATTTCCTGAGAATGTTTAAGCATATGCACAAATTGGCACTTGGTTTTCTTAAGTAAGTTTGTGGCTACAGAAATTCCTTAAGCCATCTTTGAAGGCTGGTACTTTAAGTGACTTGGGTCACGTTATGTTTTACATTTTGCTTTCTTTTCTCAGCACATAAATGCACATCATGCTTATGAGTCTCAGATCTCGTCAATGGCAAAAGCCATGTCTCAGTTAGAAGAAGAGCTGCGACAGCATGAAAACGAGAAAGCAACCGTGTTAGGTGATCTGTCGTCTCTCCAAGAACTTTGCATTAAGCTTGACTCGGGCAAAGACCTCATGACCCAGCAGCTGACGACCAAGAGCCTCGAGCTGGACCGGGTAGGTGCTGAGAGCCTGCTGGGCACGGTGCAGTCAGGGTTCTGTTTCACGTCTTCTTCCCTCGATGAGGTGGAGGACGCCTTAAAGCCAAGCAGCAAAGATGACTGAAGTTGTGATGCTTCAGTCATGTGTTTTCTGACTAAAGAAATGTTTTGAAGTCTTCAGCCAGTACCAAAATGAAACAATTAATAAGTCAATCACTATTATATTGTAAGATAAATAATTTTTCAGACTAAGCCTAAATTTTCACTAAATTTTTGTTTTTTTCTGTAGGCGGTAGCAGAATTAGAGAATGTGAAATCAGAATCGGAACTGTTAAGAAAACAACTGACAAGTGAGAGACAGACAATTAAAAACCTTGAGTCCTTGTTAGCTACAAACAGAGATAAAGAATTTCATTCACATATGACCTCCCATGAGAAGGATACAGAAATCCAGCTACTGAAGGAAAGGTTAAACATCTCAGAAAGCAAACTGTACGTGTCGTGGAGCAACCTGTGTGTGAAAGTGTTCTTGACTAAGTGGTTTGCAGCTTGGGGGTAGTGAGGGCAGTATGGGAGTGTGATAGAGAATCAGGGCGCCTGACTTTGTTGCTTGATGCTCTGGACATCCAGAGGGACAGCTCAGGAGATGTGGTGTTTGAAGCTAAGGCGTGTACATCTTTGCCCCAAGGTGGTGAGGAAGGAGCTTCTGGGGAGGAGCGAGCTTCCGGGGAGAGCATAAACTTGAGGAGAGAACAAAGGCATCACTGGCGGAAAGGCTTTCAGGGTGAGATGTGCTGTAGATGGGAAAAGGCGTAGAGCAGGTGAGATTTGATCACCATCGAGGAGAATGGCAATAACATCATCCCAAAAGAGAAGAGCCTGAACTTGCCAGCATGCACAGGAATGGGCTTTTACAGGGCCATAGGGTGTCTAAAACTGATGTTTGTGTGGCAAGAGGGAAGGAAGAGGTTTCTGGTTCATGGGTTCTGCTGCATGTGCTGACAGTAAATCAGAATCTGGAAGAAGCTCCGTGTTGGAGAGGGCTGCTGATACAAAGCTGTGATCTGTGTCTGCTCTTGAGGGTCACCGCCATTTTTATGTGCATTTGCTTCTACAAAAGTGGTAATTCATTTTTTTTATTTCTGATATCTTTCAATTTGTTTTTTTAAGAACTAGCCAAAGCCGAGAAACCTCCATGTTTCAAGCTAAACTGACACAGTTGCAAACAGATTACGATAATCTGAAAAGGCAGTTTTCAAATGAGAGATATGAACGGTAAGACACTTCTTTTTCGCATGAAACTGTATTTCGACATATCTTCTATCCTATTCAAAGAGTGTTTAATATGGCTTACAAATAACAAGCTGCTTTAGTATTAATATGTGAAATAAATTTCTTGGGCAAATCTCCCATAGGGAGAGAGATTCTGTAAGCAACAGAATCCCTGTAGTAAGGAAACCAGCGCTGCTGTAGAAGTGCTTCGTGGAGCTTTTGCAGGGAGCAGTAGATGGGGAAGCAGCAAACGTTCCTGCAAGAGCCCCCAGATGTAGTGCAATTGGAGTCTCTGAGTGCATGTTATCACTCACTGAGTGATGAGCGGATCATCAGAGCCGCTAGCTCTGACCTGGGTACTCAGCATGTCTGACCATCCCAGTCTTTATGCCTACCTGATGGGAAACTGAGGTCACTTGTAAATGTCAGCGCCACTGTAAAAGCACAAACATAACTGTTTGTCCCAAAGCTTATGCACTTGCAACATATTCCCTGCTCCTTAATCACTTTCACGCTTATGGTTCAGTTCCATTGCTTTATATTAAAACATGGAGTCCCTAAATATTGCAGAGATGATACAATTGTTTAACAGTTAAAATCAAGCCAGATATGCTGGCATCCATCTGCATCGCACCATTCAGGAGGCTTAGGCAGAGGGCTTATGAGCTGAAGGCCATCCTGGGAGACCAGTGTCCAAAAAGAAATGAATTGAAAATCAAAGTCTAACTTTCAAATCAACAGCCAACTCACTTTTTTTGTTGTTGTTGCTCTTTCTTTAGACACATGAAATTAGTTCTTGAGTAGGCTAAAATTGCCTATTAGGTCATTTGAAAATTTTTATTCTTCCCTGTTTACCTCAAAACTTGAGTCATACGATATGCTGCCTGAAGTGCAGAGGAGATTTGCTGTGAAGTCAGTTGTTGTGACTTCAAATAGAAAAGAGTTTTACTGCAGCAGTAGTGTGAAAGCTGTGGTGATTTTTATTTTGAAAATTGGAACATGGAGTGCTAAGCTGTATATAATGATTTCTCTTTATTCTTAGTGATAACTTTTCAGTAATTTCAAGACCTTCAGTCATGTTTGCTCTCTATGGTCCAGAGTTAAAGATCTATACTCTTTCCTTACTCCTGAGCCTCATGAACACATCTTCCCTGTGCTTTACCATCAGCCTAAGTGACTCATTCTCAAGTTGCCGTCACCCCACCCTAGAGAGAAAACCTGGTTCTTGTGGGTGGGAGGAGACAGCAGCATAGTCTAGTCACTCCAGGGCTTGATGGCCCTGGAAGCCACAGTGTCCTGTGTTCATTCAGATGTCTTGGTGTGAGGGAGGAATCCAGAGAGAAAAAGCCTTTTAGAAGTTCCTTTGACAGGGTGATATTGAAAAAAGAAAAGCATGTAGGAAGAAAAGCTGGGCCCTGGGTAACTCTAGGAAAGGCTAGAGACTCGGGAGCCACAGAGGGGACAGCTCGGTGCTGGCAGAGCCCTGACACCGGAAGAAAGGGGTGACGAAGAAAGTGGGCTCCTTTGTCTCTCGCTTGGGAGGTTAGAGGCACAGAGAAGGCTCAGTTTAGTGCAAAGAGATGAGAAAGGAAGGGGCAAAGGAGGGGAGCATGCAACATGGTGTTCTGTTCTCAGGCCCTGGCACCGCAGTGACAAGTTAGCGCAGTACAAATGATCACAGTCGCTCCATACAGAGATGTGTAAATTACTGTCTTTGAGTTTATACACACATGGACATGAGTGTGCACACACACACACACACACACACAGTGTGTGAGAAGCATGATGGTGCATATTCTTTTAATTGAAGTATTTTACTTACTGCTGAAAAAACCTACAAATAGGGCCTAGAGAGATGGCCCAGGGTTAAGAGCACTGGATGCTTTTCCAGAGGACCAGGTACCTACACATCTGTAACTAACCCTTTTCTGCCCTTCACAGGCAACAGGCACATGTGTTGTGCATAGACAGGTGTGCAGGCAAAGCACCCATCCTGATAAAATAAAGTTAGTAAATTTTGTTTTAATCCTGCAGACTTGGTAAAGGTATATAAGGCTAGGCCAGGCATCCTATCCACTTGTAGTTCCAGCTGCTTGGGAACACCATGGCAGGAGAATTGCTTGGGCCCCCAAGTCCAGGATAGCCTCGTAAAATAGTAAGGCCCCATTTCAGAGACAAAGCAAACTAGACTAAATAAAGGTGGTAGAAATACGAAACATTAGTAGGTGTTATATAATTGACTAATCACCCCAGTAGGCGCTTTTTAGGCTTTCATGGTGCTTACATTTTATCTCTCCTGTGATCTTCACCAACAGAGAGAGAGCAATCCAAGAGATGCACCGACATGGTGTCCCTACATCACCTCTTAATTCTGCTCTGAGGTCTCCTGTACAGTCTCTTGATGACGTGAATTCATAGTTGTCAGGAAGGTATGTATCAGGTCCCAAGGACAGATAGAGCTAATCTTGATTGTAAAAATTTCGGTATTATTGTACCTGTCAAGGTGTTCAGGGGAACTTTCTGGAGCAATGGCAATGCTCTGTGTGTTGGTGGCAGGGCAGCAGTTACATGGAAGGTACAGTTGTCAGCATTTGTCAGCTGAACATGTGGGCCATGAGTTTCACTGTGTATCAGTTTCACCTAAGTAAAAAGGAGAGGCTGGGAATGCGAGTCTGTGGAGGAGCACTTGCCATGCATGCAGGAGCCCTGGGTTCATTCTTAGCACTGCCGAGGAGTTGGGGTGTCGGCATCACCAGCTCTAGCAAACTGCTAAGAAATATGAGATGCCACAGGATGACACTAACCAAGTACCAAATTCAGTGTCCAAATGCCAGCCGATGAGATGGGAAAGGCTTAGAGACAGCGCACGAGGCGCAGTGTACTCAGTTTGCCAGGAATGGGGCCTGTGGCGGAACAGTGTGGGAGGAAGGTTTGAAAGCCAGGGTGGGGTACACCAAGTTTGTGATGGTGAGGTCACATGCAGATGTAGACTCTAGCTCCAGGCTGGCCTGGAGTCCTTCCGACTCTAGGGTGGCTACCCAGAGCTCGAGTGAAAGGCTTGTCTGTATTGGGTCTGCCTCGCAGCTGTGTCTGAGCCGTACAGGAAATATAGGAACCAGACGCAGGAAGTGTAGTCAGAGTTTGCAGCGGATCTTAAAGTGAGTTTAGGAAGCTGTGTACCCAAACAAGTCTTAGGAGGTAGTGGCAGGAAGGTCAGGAGTTCAAAGCCACCATCGGTTGTATAGTGAGTTTGAGAGGCCAACCTAGGCTGCATAAGATCCTGCCTCAAAGTGGCAGACAGTCAAGAAAAGGTGTCATATCACAGGCGCACGGCTCACTGGGATTACACTAGACACATCTAGCTGATGTGCACCGAGGCAAAACATACTGTCTCCCTTGCTTCTAGGCACTGGCTCTGCTTTCAGAGCAGGTGTCTTCACCGTAAAAGCACAGACTCCTCGTCTGCTTTTGGATTTTCTCAGTGAACTTGTGCGTTTCTGGCCCCTTATTCTCGGCGGTGCATTTCTAGGATCCAGCCACTGATGTGTGTTCTTATGGATGGTTATTTTTGCTGCATAGTGGCATACTCTGATGTAAACTTAAAGCATTCGTTTACTCTCTCTGGTTGACAGGCATGGTAGCTGCTAGAGGAGTGCCCTGTCTATAGACTTAGGATTGAAATTGCTGAGGTCACTTGTGGCCAGGCTTTCACAGATGTGAGGATCAGTTCCCAAGTAGTCAATGCTATGGTGCCTTTGCCAGGGTTGGAGATAAAGGGGTGTACTAATTCCTTGGAGATAGGAAAGAAGCCTGAGTCAGACGCTGGCTTTGACAGATAGTAACTGAAGAGCGCAGACTCACTGACAGGAATGGTTGAGTCAGCTTCTTTAACACGATGCATTTGTTTGCCTCTTTTAATAGAAGTGCTGTGTGGAGAAGATAGCATTTCCTCAGAGGCTCACAGTCCCCACTGCAGACAGTGCGTGCTCTGTGCTTTCACATCCTGAGGCCAGGGTCAGGGCCTCTGCTCTAATAACGACTGATTGCTGCTTTCTGCCTGAGTGTTTACAGTCTTAAAATGTTGACTTTCCTTTTTCACCTTGCGTCATTGTGCCCTTACCTCCAGGAAGGTTATTTTGAGGGTGCTTAGGTGACAGACTGCCTTTTGTTATGAAGCCTCAGAACAGGTGCCAAACGCTTTGCATATTTGACTCTCAGGCTGTTTAGCTCTACAAGTAGCCAAATAGGACATGGGGCCAATAGCCTCTGCCTCTCTACATAAAATTATAATTTATTGGAGTACCATCCAACTTTACACATTGTCCAGAACAGCCGCTTATCTACACCACCAATGTTGTGTGGTTAGGACACACCTCCGTGCTGGCTTCTCACATCAGGTAGCGTCTAAAAACTCAGCAGTAAGCCAGGAGAAAGAAAAAAATGTGAAAGGGCAAGTAATTCATTGATTGTAGGCAGAAGAAAAAAGAAAAAAAAAAAGGCTTGACTTTGTAGATTCCCTAAAAAAATTCATGGGGACTCAGAAATTCTTGGACTTACAAAGAGTCTCTGGTAAAGGCTAGAATTCTACGCTGGATGGCTTCCTCTATTGCCCTCCACCTTAGTTTTTCAGACAGGGTCTCTCGCTTAACCTGGAGCACAGCATTTCAGTTAGATGGGTTGGCCAGCAAGCCCCTGAAGTCCATCTTTCTTTGCATTACCTGAGCTCTGGGGTTACTTATGGGCCATCTCTTGAGTGGGTGCTAGAGATCTGAACCAGGCCCTTAAGCTTTCATAACAAGCATTTTACCCACTAGCCTACCTCCGAAGACCATGTTCCACAGAGCTGCCTGTCACACCCATCAGCACTGTTCTAGGTCCTACAGCTCTTACTTTCTCCACATCCTCATCAGTTCTTACTTTCCATTTTCAGAGTTATGACCCTCCTAGTCTATGTGCAGTAGAAACCTTTACAGCTGCTAACAAATTCACTGCCTTTAATTGTGTAATAATTGGCAATTAATTCTCAAGTATTGCAACATGCTTATTAACCAGTAATCCCTTTTTGTCGATGTTTTTTAGGTAATGTTACTAAATCTAATTTCAAAGGATTTCTCCAATGAGCACTGAGAAACAAATTTCGTATACATGAAAGTTTCTCAGATTAGTGTCTCTCTAATACTGAACATAGATAACCTAATTTTTGCTTTTATTTTCTTTGTATTAACACCACAGGAGATAGGAAAACCCTGTCACACAGTCAGCCCAACCTTTCTGAGAGTTACTTCACCACACACCAGCTAGGAGTCCTGTAATTTAACGCTCTCCCTTAGACTGCTCTACCTAAAGACAGTGTCATATCCCGTTGGTAAGGGGGGCAGTTGACAAAACTCCTCCCCTCATCAGGGGCCAATTTCAGTCGAGATAGTGGCCTGTGCATCTGACCTACCTGCTATTAAACCACAAGGTTCCACAAGGTTCCCTCCCCCCGAGATTTGATTGAATTTAGCAGGAGCTCACGCTACAAAAGATACCAATGACTGGCCAGACAAGCACAAGGTACAGAGGAGATGTACGCAGCCTCCATTCCCTTTCCAAGCACAACTTCCAAGTGTTCAGCTCCCTGGAAGGTCTCCAGCCCTGGCCCGCTTGGGCCTTTACAGAGGCTACAGTACATGGCAAAAAAGCTGATACATTGTCAGCATTGGTAACTGGGCCTTTAGCCTTCCTCCTCTGCCCAGTGCCACCTTCCGGGTGAGCAGCCTCTCCCCAGAGCCCTCAGCCAGTAGTCTCCTCATCTGTATCCCTACAGCCACTCTCACTCAAGTACTTTTTGGGAGCCTCGTGCCAGGCACAAGCAGCAGAGACCAATTCTTCTACCACATCATCACACATGCTCAGTGACAGACCTGTGACTAAGCAAACCAAAATCGTGTCCGACTGCTTTTCCAGAAGTGCTTCAAGAAGTAGAAGGATGCCTCTTAAACATGAGGAGGCTTAGGAAGCAAGTTTTTATTAGGGGCTGTAATTTAAAGCACTGTTGAATTTGAGCTTGTTAATGTCTTGAGTAACTATATAATTCATCTTTACTCACCTTTCAGATTATGGCTTTCAGTGAGTTCCTACATGAAGTCTTAAAGATCACAAGAGTAATGAAATATTTGAAGTACTTGTTCCTGCGAATCATGAACATTGACACAAATTCTACCTCTGTCAACCTTTATTTAAATTAGTGGATATTTATGTAAAAATGTTTAGTTTTCAAAGAGCCTTATATGTATATTTTCATATATGTGAAAAAACAAAATATGTATTAATAGCTTAACTGATGTGATATGCGAATTTTATTATTCCCAACTAAAATTACCCTTTAAGATGTGTTTATACTGTGAATTAACTTAGTATGCTCACATTATGCTTTAATAATCTGTTTCTTAATGAGCCATAATATATGCATGTAAATATTTGTTCATTATTTAGGTGTGTTTGGTTTTCATACCTGTGTTTATAGCCCGTACATGGCATGATGAATTAAGAGAATGACCCATGTAAGGCTTTTCTCCTAAGTGTGCCATCAGTACTCATTTTCTGTCTGTCATACTGGGGAATATGTTTAAATCTAATCTAACAGGAGAACTCTTTTTTTTTTTTTTTTTTTTTAAATAAAAGAGTTTCTTTGAGCTTATGGTTCCAGAGTGATAGGAGTCCATCAGGGAAGCATGGCAGCAAGCAGCAAGCACAGCAGTAGGAGCAGGAAACGGAGTGATCACATCTTTACCACAAGCACAAGGTGTAGAGTGACCAGGAAGTAGGGAGGTGCTGTATACTCTGGAAGCCCTTCCCCAGGGACATTGCCATGTGTAATTAGTTCTTGCAAGCCGGGAGAACTGCAGTGGGACAGATTCATGTTTCTTTGATGTGCCTTGTGTGGCTGTCGTGTGAGCTTTTCACATGATGCAGTTCTTTTTTTCAGAATTAAGCTAAAATATATTCAGAGTTTGTAAAACAATGAATTGGAAATTTGAAGCATTTTTTTTACTAATTAAATTCTTCAGTGTAATATAAAATTTCAAAATATAAAAGTATAAGATGTAGAAAAGTATTTTTGTTAAAAGTCCAATATGCATCTGACAGTACTATCTGTGGCCTCTGCACCTGTGTAACTTACCCAGTCTTTTGAAATAGTATGTAAACACCATCCCTGTGGCACATAAAGTGAAAACAGCTTTGTACAAATTCAATTTCAAAGTTGTAACTTTAAAGAATTTAGGTGTCTGCAAAAATTAAAGAGAGCAGAAGTACAAAATAAAATGACTGACACACATACTGATCATGTCTCAACCATTCACGTTTGAAGACTATCCTCTTTTAAAGCCAGATTTCATTATGACTGAGAAGTAACTTAAAACTCAGCACAAATAAGTAAAAGATCAGCTAGGAACACTTTTCCCTCTCGGCTTAATAAAGAGTGTGTGTGTGTGTGTGTGTGTGTGTGTGTGTGTGTGTGTGTGTGTG